CTCATCGACGCCATCCTCAAGCCCTTTTTGGATCGGTTGCCGGGTGTTTCCGACGAGCGTGACATTGACGAGCCGGATGCTGACGAGGAGATTGTCTTCAGAGAACCCATCGTCGGCGGCTCAGCATCAATGTTTAGCCAGCGGAAGCTGCGCTCCCATCTGATGAATAAGATCCATGCTGTGGACTTCAGATTGGATGGTTCTGGCGTAGTGAACATCTTGGACACCGACGTCACGCGTGACCCTGCCAAGCTTGAACTTCGGCAGGAATCCATGCAGCAGACCGAAGAGGGTGCAGTCATCATTCGTCGCTTTGACTTGACGGATGAGGAGAAGCATCGTCAGATGGAACGGGAGATCTTTGAGGAGCCCAAGACCGCCGAGGAGAAACTTCGCGCGGGTGACCCTGCTGCCACTGTCCAGATCATGTCGAAGGCCAAGTCGAAGGCGGCTTCCTCATCCGAAGCGGCATCATCTTCGAGCGGCATCGCACAGGTGATCGGGGACACTGTCAGCCAATTCATCAAACCAAAGATGAGGGATCAGGCTACCATGATTCAGCCCAAGCCTGCTCCGCGGCTCCCAAAGGTTTCAACGGCGACGGGAACGTCTCCCATGGCGTCCCCAAAGCCCAGTCCGCCACCGACTCCGAAGAGTGCAACTGGATCCCCCAAGCCGGAACCACCTGCACTCCCAGCGGAAGCTGCGGACCATCCAATGCCCAAAGCTTTGCCTTTTAAGGCACCGCCTGCAACGTTGACAACAACTTCACCGAGGGCACCTCCGCAGAAGTCATCGGCGCCTGCAGCTACGTCTTCGTCGGAGCCTGCCCCGAAGATGGCCAAGAAGGAGCCGCCTATGGCAAGTGCTCCTCCCCCGGGAACGGGTGGACCTCAGCCTCCGGCTGAACCGCCCTTGCGACCACATGGATATCCCAAGTGGTACTTTTTCTCCCCGGGAACGGGCGAGCGCAGGGAATTCACCGTTCGGTGTACAGACCTGCCAGGCCTGAGGGACCTTGGAAGACTCAGTCATGATGATTTCAAATTTTCAAAGAGGGTGACCGGGCTGCTCCGTGGATATGATCACAAATTCCTCGAGGCGCATCATCGCCATATTCCTCCTGAATTTGATGAGGAGCTGTACTTGAACTTTGAGTCCATGATAGTCCATGTACACGTACCTCCGAAAGCGGCATCGTGCGCAGCTTTCGCGACAGGACCTGTACCTGATTCTTCGAACTCAGGACCGGTTCATGTGCCGCATTCAGTCTGGAATTGTCGGGGAACTGACAACCATGGACATGCCCTACCGCATCACCCACGTGAAGGCCTGCCAAGGCCATGACCAGTCGCTCATTGACAAGGTGGGAACGGCTCCATTGGTCAAGCAAATCATCTCGCTTGACTACCAGTTCACGGTCGAGGATTTGAAGAAGGGATTCTACCCCAGGGTTCCCATTTATCCTCACCTGGCGGAAGCCGAGGTCTCAGAAGAGTTTAAGGTTATTTACCATTACACTTCATGGGACTCCCTCCAGCAGATCATTTGCACGGGGATTTTTCCAGGGGCCACTTCATGCAAGGGTCATGCGTATATGACCCGCCATGCGCCTTGGGAAATCGAAGGCAAGGATCCTGGCGTCAGGACGAACAGACCGCTGTGCATCGCGATCGACACCGATTGTGCTCTGCACTATGGTCTTCGCCTGGTGGAAACCTTGGCCGGTGCACTCATCACTGAGGACTGGGTGCCCAATCATTGCCTCATCTACGCATTCGATTGCGAGAAGTCGCAATACCTTTGGGCGAACCATGGCTACAACGGGGTGAAGAAGTACCTTCGGCAGAAGGCCTCCGAGAACGCTCTCACTTGGCAGGAGAACGAGGCTCGGAAGGGCACTCCCAACTATGACGAACTTGAGAGGTACGAGATTTCGGACCTGGAGGTGTTGAAGAACATGTTCGTGAATGAGTACGATCAGTGGAAGGATGTCATCACTCTGCGACGTCCGCTCATTTACAAGGAAGTTCCGACACCATACCCTGTCGTCGATGAGTTGCTGCCCAAGTTCAAGCAAAGGCCGCTCAACTTCACCAATCTCCTCTGTGTGGCACGCAAGCCGACGGCAACAGCTGCTGGCTTCGACATCGCCCCTGACAACGCGCGGGAACGCCGTTCTGATCGCTTCGATCAGGAGGCATTTGACCCATCCGCGGAGGGGAACCTCACGCGCTGGCGGTATGTATCAATGCTGGCAATGCCGGAGTTGACATGCCCCCGGTGCAGGAAGATTTTTCCTGAGGGGATGTTGGTTTGCCTTGCATGCGGCTTGTCGCTGGCGACAATGTCCGACATGCGCCGTGCGTGTCAGGTGTTCCGCCTGGAAGAGTTGGCCGAGAAGCTGGGCTTCGAGCTGACGTTGGATCTTCTGGGTGACGACGATGTAGCAGGCACCACTCAAGGTGCCAAGCAGATCAGATCTGCTGCGGCAGTCCTCAAAAATCACGCCCGCTCATACATGAAGCAGGCGAGAAAAGCTGGACTGACTTTGCTACAGCGTCTGGGAACGGACGCCCATTACGCCTTTAATTGTGCGGTCCAAGACCTTACACCTCGGTGTATGCATTGGATTACAGTTCTGGGCAATGTGGTGCTTCCCTCCATCAAGCGCACGCGAGAGGAGATCCGAACTGGAAAGATTCGGCAGTACAAAGCGCGTATGTGCATGGTCGCATACGAAGAGGAACAGATGAAGACGATCATTGTGGATGATCATGTCCTCATCTGGTACAAAGACCGCTTTTACAGAGCCAACCAGTTCGCGGCCGCCTATGCCTTGATCCCGATGGCCGAGCGTTTTGAGGTCTTGAGCGTCGCTAACACGACGTTCCAATCCCTTGCGTTGTCCAAGCAGGATGTGTATGCCGACATTCTCAGCTATGTCGAGGACATCTTGCGCCCCCTCACGGAGGCAAAGGACACGGAAGGCGGAAGCCGACCCCTACCTGCAACAAGGCAGCAGAACCCGGATGTCACCAGGTCCTCGCGTCCTGGCTATGGTTCTCATCAGGGGCCCACTCATGGCTACAGTCAGCAGGAATGGAATGACTACTACAATCAGTGGACTGACCAGGAGTGGGAAGATTGGCGCCGTCGAAATCAAGGCCACCAATACAGGGATCGACGTTGGTCGGGCTATCGCTGAGGCACCGCGGAGGGGAACCTCTCTGGTGGATTTATCTTCATCTGAGGCGGGGTAGTTTTCTCTCAATGTGAGGTGTCGCACAGCGGAAGCTGTTGCCTTTTCGGATCTAATTCGGTTAGGCGACTAGCTTCATTTTTGCACGCGTGGGTGAGCGATTCCACGATTATTTCCAACACAAGTGTGCTAAGTCGGAATTTTTGCCAATGTATTCAAGTTCACAAAAAGTTTCATTAACGCTTTGAATGCATATAATTTGAAGCAGGCATTTGGCACTCATCTTATTCTTGCCATGATTCCTTCTTGCATAGCACACGGCTGGTAGTTGCATGAACCGCAGAGCGGAAGCTCTTGCCTTGCGAAGATAAGGCAGCTTTGAAGCATTTCTGAAAGCTTCCCTGCGGGTTCACATCAAAACCGAATTCAGCATTTTGCTTTACTTCATTTTGTTTGCTTCGGCATGCTCCCGGGCGTCCACAAGAACTTTTGATGCCGCGTGGAAACGCTGGCCTTTGTAATGGGCCACACTTCAACACGTTTGCATGTTCGACCACAAGCCTGGTAGAGCCAAAATGAAACTGAATGCATCCCGCCGAATTGACTTGCACTGCATCCGTCTTTCACACAACTTGATGTTAGATTGAATGGATCGCAATCGCTGTTGCGCATGTTTGTCATTGCTGCATACCTGAGGTGAAAGCACAAAGGGCGATGGAAGGTTAGGCCGCGGACGGGTTTGGTTGTTTTGTTGTTGTGTTCTTGGTTGGTTTAACATAACGGCATCCCTTACTAGTCTGTACATAGCCTAATTTGCAGCTTCATCTCCTGTGCGGTAATTACACTGCACGGGGGGTGTTGTTGCACAGTCCTAGTGTATATACCACTGTTTTCACCTCTACTTGTTGTATGCTATGGCTCAAGAAATAGTGCGGCGTATTCGCAGGGTATTTGTGGTAACTAACGGCCCTTAGCCTATTTCTACAATATACATATATTATATATATTATACATATTATATATGTAATATATTATATATATATATATATATATGCGAACCAGCAACCAACATGATGCTGCCGGAGAGTTTGCCATTCCCCCCTTCTACGCACGGCACGCCGTAGGGAAACTTCTCTCACTTCGATCTCCACAGAGGCTGTGCTAGTCCTGTGGCTGGGCTTAGCGGAGCTGGGAAGTACCCACAGGGCTAATGGATGGTGGAAATCAATGGATTGGTTTAAGGGAAAATCTACAGGAAACCATAGATTTTCCCATGAAATATGGGGTTTTCCTGTAAAATTTCCCTTAAACCAATCCATTGAAGAAAGCAATGGTTTACTTTAGGAAACATTGAATCATATAAGCTATGATTATATAATAATATATAATATAGATGATGATTTTCATTGATTTTCGCTTTTCCAGGAAACATAGAAAAAGATGGTGGAAAACCCATGGGGGCCGGAAAATGATCTACTTTCATGCGTTTTTTTCCCACATCGAACTGGTCGTTGACTCAATGGGAGAATCATCGAAGTGGGGAATTTTCCAAAGCATGGAACTCAAAGAGAACCCTGAAAATGGCCATTTATAGTGAGTTTTTCCATGAAAAATGGTGATTTTCCATTCGAAAACGGTCTACCCGGCCTGGTAAACGTTTACAGAAAACTATGGAAAATCACCATCTTCAAGAGGTAAATCAACATAACTATGGAAAATCACCATTTGTCATGGGTAAATCCACTATTTCTATGGCCATTTTCAATAGCACTTTTGACATAACCAGAGGGTAGTCCAGGTGGAGCTTCACCACCCTCGGCGTGGGCTTCAGACCCTTCGGACCCTTCAAACGCTGGTGGAAGCGAAGCGTGAAGACCTGGCTGGAAGTCTTTGAGGAGCTGGGGAAGTTCAGAGGGTTTGAACCACTGTAAATGGGGATTTATATGGTATTTATATGGATTTATATGGATTTAATTGGTATTTATATGGATTTATTTGGTATTTATATGGATTTATTTGGTATTTAATTGGTATTTATATGGTATTTATATGGATTTATATGGATTTATATGGATTTAATTGGTATTTATATGGATTTATTTGGTATTTATATGGATTTATTTGGTATTTAATTGGTATTTATATGGTATTTATATGGATTTATATGGATTTATATGGATTTAATTGGTATTTATATGGATTTATTTGGTATGGGGTAGCGATACAAAGCCAACCACCCATTGGGATACAATGGGGATAGAATTGGATTTATATCGAGTAGTTATGGGTGTGTTGGAAACTTAGGTATACCCGGGAAGATGGTCTCTAGGGGGCTGATGGGCTGAGCTGCAGGGCTTGCATGGCTGGATTACCAGCCACAGAGGGACTTGGTGCAGTTTCGCATTTTTTTGGAGCTTATTTGACCCAAGTTCCTCCCCATTCTGGCTGAAGCAAGCCTGTGACCAAGCTAGTTTGACCAAGCGTGGGGACTGGGACGACGATTTGGCCATAAGTGCCATGTTTGGCTTCGGAGGACCTAAAAGAAGAGGAGTTGGTGCTCCTGGCAGGAATCGGGGCGGAGCAAGTGATGTCATCAGAACTGAGGGTTCCTGTGGTGATCAAACATCTGCTTCATGGAAGATCTCCCTTTTTCGTAATTTTTCATGGGAACATGGAATACTGGTTGGTGGTTTCAAACATTTTTTATTTTCCATTTCATATATGGGATGTCATCCTTCCCATTGACTTTCATATTTTTCAAGATGGTTAAAACCACCAACCAGAATATTATACCATGGACCATGATACAATGATAGGGTTAAAATTTCCAAGCGACCCCCCCCTAGAATTTCAACCCCGGCCAGGTTGGTTGGGCAGGTGATCATGGAAGTCTCCGGGTCCCCTAAAGCTCCCCAAACAACAGGGGCTGATGAATCATGATGAATCTACCAGGCAACCAATATAATGGACACAGATTGATGGATGGATAGAAAGATAAACAGATAGACAGACTAGTATATATATATATCTTAATATATATATATATTAATATATATATATAATGCTTAATATATATATATTAATATATATATATATTATGTTTAATATATGTATATATGTACAATATACACACATACTTTTCCTTTACACATACAGACCCTTCTTTTCAAAAGTGGATCCAAAGATCCCACCCGTCCTGCTGCTCAGGAGCTGCCGTGGAGGCGGATGCAAAGTTCTTCGTGGCACTGCAGGATGCGTCGCATGGGTGTTACCTATCAAAAACCCTAGGTGAACCGTGAAAAAAAAATGATTTAATATAGGATATAATGTGCTTACCATTTGGTAATCTAACAGTTTGCGAACATTGATGAATTACCATAAACATGATGATTTTCTATAGTTATGAGAAATTAACATAAATTAACTGAGGGTGAATCGTTTAATGAGGATACAAAAAAATTGTTCAACTGGTTGATTTTTCGAAGCGGTCAAAATTCAGTATCAGTTCAATCCATTACAGTTCGAACGTTGATCAAAGACATTGATTAGCCAATCATAGATGATGTATTATAATTAGATTATAAGTTAATATAGTTTAATATATAATAATTATATATAGAATATAACGTGGTCAACCCATATGGAACAGTCAGATTTCATCATTCGCTCTTGAACATATCTCATTTTTATATCTCCACATAGCCTCTGGTAATCAGTCACATGGCTGGAAAATCCACCATGGCTGCCACGTGGAAAATGACCGGAGGCTACCAGGATTTTTTGGGCCACTTAAAGAAGTGCCAAAAACCTACTGCTCCGTAGCATAAATCAACTATCAATGCCCATTTTTCATGGTGAAATTCCCATTTTCCCCACATTTTTCGTGGTGAAATTCCCATTTTCCCCACATTTTTCATGGTGAAATTCCCATTTTCCCCACATTTTTCGTGGTGAAATTCCCATTTTCCCCACATTTTTCATGGTGAAATTCCCATTTTCCCCACATTTTTCGTGGTGAAATTCCTATTTTCCCCACATTTTTCATGGTGAAATTCCCATTTTCCCCACATTTTTCGTGGTGAAATTCCCATTTTCCCCACATTTTTCGTGGTGAAATTCCCATTTTCCCCACATTTTTCATGGTGAAATTCCCATTTTCCCCACATTTTTCGTGGTGAAATTCCCATTTTCCCCACATTTTTCATGGTGAAACCCACATTTTCCCCACATTTTTCGTGGTGAAATTCCCATTTTCCCCACATTTTTCATGGTGAAACCCACATTTTCCCCACATTTTTCATGGTGAAATTCCAATTTTCCCCACATTTTTCGTGGTGAAATTCCCATTTTGCCCACATTTTTCGTGGTGAAATTCCCATTTTCCCCACATTTTTCGTGGTGAAATTCCAATTTTCCCCACATTTTTCGTGGTGAAATTCCCATTTTCCCCACATTTTTCATGGTGAAATTCCTATTTTCCCCACATTTTTCGTGGTGAAATTCCCATTTTCCCCACATTTTTCCTGGTGAAATTCCCATTTTCCCCACATTTTTCGTGGTGAAATTCCCATTTTCCCCACATTTTTCATGGTGAAATTCCTATTTTCCCCACATTTTTCGTGGTGAAATTCCCATTTTCCCCACATTTTTCATGGTGAAATTCCCACATTTTTCCTCCCCACATTTTTCGTGGTGAAATTCCCATTTTCCCCACATTTTTCATGGTGAAAGTCCCATTTTCCCCACATTTTTCGTGGTGAAATTCCCATTTTCCCCACATTTTTCCTGGTGAAATTCCCATTTTCCCCACATTTTTCGTGGTGAAATTCCTATTTTCCCCACATTTTTCGTGGTGAAATTCCCATTTTCCCCACATTTTTCGTGGTGAAATTCCCATTTTCCCCACATTTTTCATGGTGAAATTCCCATTTTCCCCACATTTTTCGTGGTGAAATTCCCATTTTCCCCACATTTTTCGTGGTGAAATTCCCATTTTCCCCACATTTTTCATGGTGAAATTCCTATTTTCCCCACATTTTTCGTGGTGAAATTCCCATTTTCCCCACATTTTTCTGGTGAAATTCCCATTTTCCCCACATTTTTCTTGGTGAAATTCCCATTTTCCCCACATTTTTCATGGTGAAATTCCCATTTTCCCCACATTTTTCGTGGTGAAATTCCCATTTTCCCCACATTTTTCATGGTGAAATTCCCATTTTCCCCACATTTTTCGTGGTGAAATTCCCATTTTCCCCACATTTTTCATGGTGAAATTCCAATTTTCCCCACATTTTTCGTGGTGAAATTTTTTCCCCACATTTTTCCTGTGGTGGTGAAATTCCCATTTTCCCCACATTTTTCGTGGTGAAATTCCCATTTTCCCCACATTTTTCGTGGTGAAATTCCCATTTTCCCCACATTTTTCATAGTGAAATTCCCATTTTCCCCACATTTTTCGTGGTGAAATTCCCATTTTCCCCACATTTTTCGTGGTGAAATTCCCATTTTCCCCACATTTTTCGTGGTGAAATTCCCATTTTCCCCATTTTTCGTGGTGAAATTCCCATTTTCCCCACATTTTTCATGGTGAAATTCCCATTTTCCCCACATTTTTCGTGGTGAAATTCCCATTTTCCCCACATTTTTCATGGTGAAATTCCTATTTTCCCCACATTTTTCGTGGTGAAATTCCCATTTTGCCCACATTTTTCATGGTGAAACCCACATTTTCCCCACATTTTTCATGGTGAAATTCCCATTTTCCCCACATTTTTCGTGGTGAAATTCCCATTTTGCCCACATTTTTCATGGTGAAACCCACATTTTCCCCACATTTTTCGTGGTGAAATTCCCATTTTCCCCACATTTTTCGTGGTGAAATTCCCATTTTCCCCACATTTTTCATGGTGAAATTCCCATTTTGCTCCCGCTACGGTTTTGGCAGGACTTCATTCTGTCATGCGCCACGTTGCGCCTGACGACGCAGCTGGCGCTCAGCACGGCTTTCGCCCTGGCGAAGCTGCCGGCGAAGCTCAGGAAGCCGATGCAGGCGCTGGGAAATCCCCAAATCGTGGAAAAATCATCGATGTGTAATGATTTGGGGAGATAATGATCCAAACAATGGATCTTACATTGTTGATAAATTGGAAACTCCCCAACGTCATGTTTTACTCTTGTAATTTATATGTTTTCAATTTTGGTTTATGGGGAGATAATGGTAATCGAATAGGATTTATAATGGTTGATAATCGTAAAATTGGGTATATCCTGAGTCCGGAGTTGACCAATTCATGTATAGGTTTATGATTATGCAGTGTGATTCTTTGGCTATAGATGTTGAGACTTTTTTTTCCTCCAGGATTGGCAATGTGTAGACCTGAAAAAACAGGGGTATTCACCAGTGAAACTTCTGGTAAGGGCCCATGACTTCAAGAAGAACTTAGCAGTTATGTTCGCCTGTTTCAAGTTGTGGGTGGTCATCTTACCCACCAAAAAAGGAGAGAACTTGAAACATATGAAGTGGGGAGTCAACAAGTGCTTCTATCATGTCTTCTTGAATAAGAATTGGGATATTGTTTGGATTTGAAAGCAGGCATATACGCAACGAAGATTGGGATGAGGAGAAGTGCTGTCGGATGGTGTTTTCAAGACATTTCTTAGTTTGGCACAGCAAAACCGCATTTCCTGTTCGTACTTGTATCCCTGTCTTTCAACTTTGGCTTAGTGACATACTGAGGCATATGTCCAATTTGCCATTCTTGGCTGTATCCGAAGGTTTGAACTATGTACTGTACATCTAGCCACAACTTAAAATGATGTAACAACAACCTGGACGTTTGATCCCTATCCATATCTATCCATATCTATCCATCTGGGTAAATTATAGCGACCTCACTACCTCACTGTTCTCCCTCATTGGAATCATGGTTAATAAGGGGAATCATCCGCAAATGGCCGCAAGATTCAGATTAGTGAAATATTATAATTTACCCAGATGTATGTATGTATATATATATAGATGATGTCATACATGTAACAATATTATACATATCATATATCATATATCCGTATACAGTTATATACAGCACATATATATATAATATATAATATCTGTATCTATCCATATTATCCATATATTTGGTTGAATGTCAAACTCGAGGCCAAGATCTCCCAGACGTGTCAGAACTGGCCACAAATACGTTCCAGGCCTTGGCAAATCACAAGGGAGGTTTTAACGGACGTTTTTTGAAGGGGAACAATAGGGATTTTTAATGATTTTTAATGGTGAGCAATAGGGATAGCAAATGATTTGGGAAATCCCATCTATAACTTGGGTGAACAAAGCCATTTACGAGCCGTGGGATGAGCCACCAAGGGGTGGGATTTCTAGCAAATAATTCATAGGGAAAGCGGGGAAGAGCCATCGATTTTCCGAACTCAAGGTATCTCAAGGTATTCCGAAGTGTTTGTCCAGGAATAGGACATGGGTAGGACCCAATTTATCCTCTGGTAAACTAACAGTTTGCTATTGAAAATGGCCCAGTCGAAATAGTTGATTTTCCATGATTTTCCCAGCTATAAAATGGTGATTTGTTCCATAGTTTTCTGTAAACGTTTACCAGACGGTAGACAAGGGCTGGGCGTTGCGGCTTGATCATCCAAGCGGTAAATGAGTTTTTTTTTTCTGTAATCCCAAATTAGAACTGGGACAGATTGGGATGTAAATAAGTAAGTATATATATATATGCAGATACATATGAGAGTATATAAGAGAACGTAACATTACCTGGTTGGTGGTTTGGAGCATTTTTCTTATTTTTCCATATATTGGGAATAGTAACCCCAACTGACTTTCACATTTTTCAGAGGGGTAGGTATACCACCAACCAGATTACAGTAACAGACATACCTATCTAATCCTTTTCTCGGCCCTCCAACTTCGGCTACCCGACGCCGCCCACGCCGCCGTGGGAACCCCAGATACGCTCCGCGGGATTCTCTCCGCCCAAGCTTTGTGCTTTCGGAGCACCCCGAAGCTTGGCCATGGAGCTAACCAGGTCCATGGGTACACGAGCCATTAAACATCTGGTTGGTGGTTTGGAACATTTTTTATTTTCCCCAATAGTTGGGATGATGATCCAATCTGACTTTCATATTTTTCAGAGGGGTTAAAACCACCAACCAGTATTCTGCTTGATTGGTCAATAACTATAGGAACTTATACTGCTGCCTAATTTGTTGGGAATTATGATAACCCATAATTAGTAGGGAAACCTATCAACTAGTGATATGAGATGGGATAGGGGTATTTCGAATGGCTCATATGGGTTTGTTTGAAAATTGTGTATTACCACACTTATGGCGATCTTAATAGATATTTGGATTGATTGTGGATTGATAACACATTTATGATCATTTATTGATTGAGTTACTTACTGAGTTGAATGTGGATGTGTCTTCTTTCCACACAGTTTTTGAATTGCATCAGGTACAGCGTACAGCCCCCCCATTGTAAGGTGATGTTATCCTGGAGCCATCCTGGAGTCGATGGCGGAAAATTCAAAGAACATCATCACTAGAAAGGGACTGTAATTGAACATTTTATGTTCTATCTAATTCTATCTACTTCAGGTATTCATCTTTGATGATGATAAACAATTTCATATTCCATCTACTTCAGGTTTTCATCGTAATTACCTTGGTACAGTAATTGATAATTATCTGGTTGGTGCTTTGGAATACTTTGGAACATGATTTTTATGAGTTTCCATATATTGGGAATGTTATCATCCCAACTGACTTTCATATTTTTCAGAGGGGTAGGTCAACCACCAACCAGATAATCAACTTCATTGGATATTGAGGTTTCCTAAATCATAGGGCTACCCCCAGTTCTCATCAATCTTTATCATCAGTTTTTCCATGAAATAAACATAAATAAACCATCCAGCTGGGGTACACCTCCAGGAAACCTCCATTTTTCATGGGAGGATCAACCGCAACGAGCGAACCCGGTAACCCGATGTTGGAGGATTTGGATTGACCATCCCCAGACAGCCGGAACAACCTTTCGTTGGTGGAATTTCCTTGGGAAAAGCCATGGGAAAATCCATGGGATAAATGATGATAAATGGAAGTTTTAGCGCAATTTTCCAGAGGTAGATTTGGGATATATGTATATATATATACACGCAATATCACCGCAATATCACCCCAACAATCTATGAATTTGCTGATGATCATTGGACAGACCCGGTCAATATCACTTAATTTTATATACATCTTTCGTGATTCTCATCAACTGGGTTTGTCAAACCAAAAAGTCCAAACATGGAATTATATGGAATTATGACAATTCAACTATAATTCAACCATATTTATATGGGAAGACAATCAACTACTCTAAGGATAGTTGCAGATTATTTTTTCTCCAAACGTCAGTACGTCGACTCCGGATGCCGCTAGATTCGACCAGGACTGCTTCGTCCTAGAGAAGGAGAGCAACTGGGAGTGTTTCGGTGGCCATGCAGAGAGGCGAGGCACGTTGGAGATGTCCCAGGATGTTTGTTTGGGTGTCCCAAAGCTTCAAAACGAGCATAGTCCCAAACATTGATTGCTTCTGCTTGCCTTAATTTTGAATGATTGTGTATACGGATGATACTTATCCATAATACTGGTAGGGATTATGAACCGTGAACTGCGAAGCCCTGTTATTTATAACATCATTGAACTATCATAGTTTACAGCGCCACCAAGGGATAGTCGAATAGCTAGGATTATCATGGATTATCTAACATTACATGATAATCCAGTATGATCCAATGATAAATATGATGGATTATCTTATCTAATCCAATTGTTGGTAATAGCCTAATATCAAATCACATTATCTCTAGGGATGACATGATAATCCAATTGTTTGCGCAGCTCACAGCCAGCAGAACCAGACGTTGTTGCAGGCAGCTCTTGCACCTCTTGCAACGTCTCGATTTTCGGCCACTTGGCGCCAATCAACATGATCAAATGTATGGATAGGTATACAGAGTATACACTATACATATATACATACATACATACATACATACATGCATACATGCATCCATCCATCCATGCATCCATGCATCCATGCATCCATGCATCCATGCATCCATCCATATATACAGTATATAATAGTATATATATATATACGCAACATCATATAATCATAATACTTATATGGAAAACGCATGATAATCATCTATGTGCAACATGTCATGTACATCAGCCGCAGCCCGAGGCGGCCCATCCTGAATGATGCCAGCTGCCAATTCGGCTTTCTGCATCGCTTGGACATCCCAAGTTCCTTGGCAGGGTGATGATTGTAATGATAAATTTGATGGTAAATATAATGGCACTTATAGTGGTAAATATCATGGTATAAATATAATGGTGATGATTGTATTTGCTGAGAGTTATTGTAATTGATGATGGATGGTTGAGTGATTGGTTGGTTGGTTGGTTGCTTGGTGGCTTGGTTGCTTGGTTGATTGATTGATTGATTGATGAGTGTGTTTTTGCTCATTTTTTGGGTGGTAATATGTGTTCATGAGATGTGACCATTTTGGTGGGGGGTGTTTTGATTGGATTTGCGTCAAGTAAGCGTCAAAGAGGGGTTGAACCATCATGAGCTGAAGGGGATATAATCAAGGAACTCTGGTTGATTATGAGGCCAGGGGGGTTGACATTATCTGGTTTATCGGTGATTATGAATTCACAATTCGAACCCCAACCAGCCCAGGTATTTCCTGAATTTGTAAAGTGTCAGTTGTGGTCATCTTGGGGTCACCGCCACCCAAAGGTGATCGTTGTCTGTCCTGCGCATCATTTGCTACAAAGACAAAACATGATAAGACATGATAAAACTATTTGGTGTAAGGTGTTATAGAATTTCTATAGCATTTCTATGGCTTATATAGTATATACATTTTTGTATAGTGAGAGTGTGCTGATATATTTTCCATGTGCCGATCATGTCAAAGGTTGGACTACTGTAGTGCACAATCCCATTGAACAACTTAATAACGCGACATATTCGCTGTTTTGCTTAATCTGGGTTTGGTACGTGCATGTTTTTTGGGTGAATACCCAGCCCCACTAAATTTCCCAGGGATAGTTGTTTCTCACAACCACACCACAACAAGCATATGGTAGCCATCACCCTACCACTTCATAATCCACCATCATGCAAGGAACAAATGAGGACTTTGAAGGTACCCACAGCACACGTGTTACTTCAGAAACATTTGTTTTTTTTTGGTAACATGGTGTAACCATCAACCACCAAGGGTAGATGGGCGGGTCTTCGTTTTGGGCTCAGAACTGGGTTTCCCCAAAGCTGACTGGTTAACACTGGTTATTTCACACAGTTACCAGTTGGGCAATCCCATCCAAGTTGATATTCCGAGTCTCTGGGTGTGCCTGTTTTTTTTTTTGGTGCACCCATTTCCACTGGCGAATCATCCTGTTCTCAGATTTTCCGACATCATTTTCTTATCACCATCAATGAAGAAATGATCATTGTTAGCCAGCATATCATTAGATCATATCAGATCCCATCGTCGAAGATCCATTAAAAAACCCATTTAATGATACACTTATTAATACCATACATAATTCATTAATCCCATAAATAATCCATGAACCATGAACTAAATGTCAAATTCATGAAGAATCCCATCAAATCCCAGCGGCCCCAGGAAAATTCCAGCAATCCCAACATCCATCAGGATCCCATGATTCCATTTGGTAAATTCCGCTCACCATGGTGCTGGAATATGCACACCTACATAAAACCCCCCAAAATTGCCCAGTGAATTGTAGGCAAATATTCCAGCACCATGGTGAGCTCATCTGGGGAATATGTCCATATTTCAACGATTAGTTAGTTAAAAACTCTATAAAGCAATCCATTTCCCAGCAACGGCACTGAGGTTCCGGTCTCCTCCTGCTGGCCACTTCTCATGTGTCTCGTTTCACGGAAGATGCGCGGAAAATCGAAAATTGGTAAAAGTTAGGACAAAAATACAGGGAAACAGTTAGGAAACTATAGGGAAAGTGTAGAGAAGCTATTTTTCTTGGTTTCTTTTTTGAACACTAGGGATTTTCATGCTGTTTTGCCTCTAAATTGATCGGGGGTTAGAGGGAAACTATAGAAAAAGAAGTAAACAGCCTTGAGTAGTCATTCATTATATTATATTCATTGGTTTTGTTGGGAAAATCTTCACCTAAACCCAGCGGCTTTTTAAAACTGATCGGCTTTTTAAGTCAACCAGAGGGATGAACTGAGTGCTTCGAAAATAAACGCTCTTTAGCTGGAAAACACATTTTTGTTCACCAATATATATATATATACACTGTACATATATATATATATGTATGTAATGTATTTTATGGTATGGAATGTAATGTAATGTAATGTATATGTATATCATAACATCACTTGTGTTTTGCAATCTCCATTTTTTTGTTTCTTGTTTGATTGCTAAATTAGGGTAAATGGGCTGATAACGAGCCCTAACCGTGCGTCAATGTCCTTGGAGTATCGTGGATCTTTTATGTTGAATGCTTCTTTATGAAACACGTGACACGTGACTTGGTGGTAACACGCTTCTTGGTCGATGCCGTGAGATTGCAGAAGTGTACATCACCATTCTTTTGTGTAAATTACCACAGTCATAGTTTATGACAATCCACTGTTTTTGTGCTTGTATAATTTGATATAATTTGTATACTGTAACACTGTCACCTGTCTCTTTCTAATTAATAGAACATCAAATGGTGCCAGCTACTGTGGCAACTGTTCTATTAGTCTATAACCCCTGCGGCCATTCAAAGAAAGCCAGAAAATATCGCATGGTTAATCGATAGTTCGATTTTTTGTGTCGATTTCTTATTTTGCAGGATACCTCGTTTTCAGATGAACCTTTAAACAGATGTCAGTGTGGATTCCGCTGATGCCATTGGATTTGAACTAGATTTTACTGGAAAGCACTGGATTTGAAGTAGTGGTAGCTGGTTTGTATCCGCAAAATATCAGGGTATCAATAGGCTATAAACATCTAAAAATGGTTGAACATTGGTTGAGAAAATCATCACTTGATGTCATTGGACAAACCGAATAGTGGCCGTGCAAATAGGAGCGCTACTACGATCTGCAACTGCAGCTCCGAAGCGGCCAGATCACTCGTGCCATGGTGAAGAAACATCGTGGTATAGATCAGATGTAGCCACTTAATTGAATTTAGTTATATCCATACCCAGATGCTCCATGGTGCTGGAATATTTACCTACATTTGGGCAATTTTTAGGGGAAATGTAGGTAAATATTCCAGCACCATGGAGCATATGGGATATGATATCCTATGAATCCTATGATGATCCTATCTTGGTGATCATCAACTGGGTTTTTATCCCGCATGGGAAAGACCTGTCAAACTGTCTAGCCATCCCAGAACATGATGCTAATGGCCATCACTGGTCCCTTTTCTTGCAGAACCCTCAAAGATCTCCATGTTTTTTCTGGGCGAACTTGTATCACGTCGTGGCAGCCTTCAGTTTGAGCTGCGAGATTCGTTTTGTTCTGGGGAATGAACCTAGACCATCAACCTCATATTATAAGAATTGATGACACACCCATTGTCAGTCCTCACAAATCATGACTTTCCGAAACTATTTGTGAAGGTTATCCAAATTCCCGCAACTTGTCCATTCCCATTATACCATTTTATATAAATATATATTTCTACATGAAAGGCATCCCAGCATCCCCCTCGCGAATTTTCCCAATGATACTGTGGATGGTTGCGAAATCCTGCACCACCAAAAGGATGGTTGAAACCCTATCGGTGCAGGATTTCGCATCGACCGTTTTTGTTGCCATGTGTTATTACTGACACCCAATATGTCCCTACTACTGTGACTGGTTGGTGCTTTGGAACCATGGAATTTTATGAATTTCCCATCATATTGGGAATGTTATCATCCCAACTGACGAACTCCATCATTTTTCAGAGGGGTAGGTCAACCACCAACAAGGTGATCATTTTTTTGGGTGTTGTAGACCTTCTCAGCCCCTCAGCCCCTTCCGAGGTGACTATGCCGTGCTGTCCCATGGCTGGCTTCCAACTTCGCGTTGGGAGGTGCGCGCAAGCATTCACTGGGGTGGCTCGGCGATGTTTCAGCGGCGGAGCGCAATAGTTGACCAAGTGGTTTTTACTTTGGGAGTTCCACTTTTTCAGCCCTTTGAAAGGCTTGATATGGCAATCTTATGCAATATTAAAGTGTTGAAAAGGGCGATGTTCAATCAAGGTGAAGCTGTGGGCCCTCGATGAATAGATCCATGACATTCCACGAGGGTTTCGTTTGAAGGGATAAATACATAGATATAGACATAATATACACACATACAAACATACATACATACATAACATAACATAATATTATATAATATTACATTACATTACATTGCATTGCATTCCATTACATTCCATTACATACATACGCATATATACATTGAGCACCCACCATGTACAGATCAGTTTCCCTGTGAAACCATGGGTTTCCATATGTAAATACATACATTTATATGTATGTCAATTTTCCGGGGGGTACCCGTCAGTAGACAAACATTTATATGTATGTCAGGGAACGGGGAACGGCAAACATCTAGTTGGTCATTATACACGAAAAACATGTTTCCATTCATGGCCATGAAAATCATGAAATCACAAGTTTTGATGGTCAAATTTATGACCCCCAACCATTGAAATTCCGCTAACCATTTGAAATTTACATACCCATAGGATGCATGTATGGTATATATGCTAACATTGGGGGTATATTGATGGTAAATGTCACCATATATAGCATACATGGATCCTATGGGATATAATTTATAACCAAATAACCCAACCATTCTTCATGGTGAAATTCCGCTCTTCGACACGGTCCACTGAGGCTCAGATTCGACACGCTCCGTCGCTGGCGGACGCGGCAAACATTCTGTAACCTTGATCCTCGACGAAGACGCGCGGATATGGGGCTGACTCTTGTAGCAGCATTGAACGACAAATGTATCTCAAAAAATATTGCACACATGACACACATTCACAATATTTCACAATATTTCGATGAACTAATACAAAGGATCAAACACGGATATATTGATGTACGAAAAATGATGTTTGAGCCACTTAAGACACGGATTTTACCAAACAAAAAATGGGATCTAAGCAATGAACATGTGCCGGTTTGAAGGACCAGTTGTATCGGGGAGGTCATGAACAGATGCCCTGAGACATGAACTTGGGCCATGAGATTTGAGATAAATGGGGCTGACCAATGGGGCTACCAATTTGGTCACCATAGGTTTCAATACTAAAACTGGTCATCCATGACGTGGATGATTTGAGGGTAGCCTCTGGTAAACTAACATAGCGAACTGGAACATCACCATTTTTAATGGGAAAATCCACTATTAATGGCCATTTTCAATAGCAAACTGTTAAATTACCAGAGGGTAGCCCTATTTTTAGGAAGCCCCAAATGAGCCTCACTTTGTGCTGATGCAATTGGTGAACCTTTCTGGCCATGGATGACCTGGTTTCAACATGGTGAACGCCTCCATGAGGTGGGTATAACCGTATAACCCCTGCATACAGTGTATATATATAATATATATATATGTATATAATATATATATATATATATATACATATAATTTTGGTTGTAGATCCGCTTACAACTAGAAGTGCAATCCCAAGTGGTACGTTTCCAAGTGCACAATGTCGTTGTTTTTGCATTTTAAATTACATCGATTGATTCTATAGGGTCCAAGTAGATGTATCATTTTGATTCATTTTGCATCTAAATCTTGAGGAGGTTGGGGAGAACTTTTCCAATGGCAAAGACATCTTGGATGTGCAACGATCAGATCTGTCAAAGCTCTCAGGTGCAAAGTGCTGGCTTACTTAATGAGTTCCTCGACATGGGGTCAATCGACTGGTGAGTGGTAGGAATGGTACGTGAATGGTGGTGAATGGTGTTTTTTTTGCCAGAGAAAATGTACTGTTCCACGTGAGATATCTAAGCTTAGCAAAGATGTGAAGGTAGAGAGCATGGACCTTAACACATATACAAGCTAATCGCCAGCCTCCATGGGGTGGTACGTCTTTCAATTACCAACAGCTTCACAAGGGCCCTGCCTATCCGTCCTTGGCACTTCTTTCCGTGCGAGTTGAGGAATTTCAGAAAGCAGAGTTGGTTCACTTGCACGAATATCCTACCCAATACATTGGGGGTGATCATTGTTATCCAACCGATATGCTCCATGTATGGAATATTTACATACATTTACCCCCAAATGGCTCAAATGTGGGTAAACATTCCATACACTGAGCATCTGGGCAATATAATTCATGAACGGGGAATCCCTGATCAATCAACCACGATATGGGATTTTAGAATAGATTGTCGACACTGCTCAGCTAGTAAGCTACTATTTTTTTTGAGGGGATTTTAAGGGGAGTTCAGAAATAATGAAAGCCTTGCAGTTTGTAGGATTTGGGCTTGTGCAGTTGGCCCAATCCGAAATATCCAACATTGACGTCCCCTGGGGCAGAAATGTGTGGTGCAAGCATCTTCCCGTCGCTTGGTCAACAGCTATCTCTGCCATGCGAAGCTTGGGGATCCTGGGTTTCCTGGGTTTTGGGGATCCCCAAGTCATCATGGGTAAACCAATAATGGTCATCCGTGAGGACTGGATGATGACTTGGGGTACCTCCATTAAAAAACCGAACACTTGGTTGGCCAAAGTGGATGTTGTTATCTTACCCAACAATGTCCGATATCTCTGAAGTCTAGGTACAGTTGTGTCCATATTGTTTTCCATAGTTGCATATTTTCTCCATGTCTTTCCTGTATTTCTTATTTTCTTCCTATGTTTCAATAGATTTGTCCATGTCTTCCGTATTTTTCCATGGTTTTTTTCCCTCGTTTTCCTTATCCCCAGCATTTGGGCCGAACAAAAAGCGCACCCTGAGACGCCTCTTGTTGCGGCTTCAGCTTCTTGTTGCTGCGACTCCTCACCGGCCGTGCCTGGAACCTGGGAGTTGGGCTTCGGGGAATCGTTGCCGAAGCTTTAAGGTGGACATGTTAGGGACATTTAGAATTGACCTTTGGATGTTTGTCCTTTGGATATTTTATAATTGTATAACTTAATAACCATATTAATTATATACATATGTATATATATATGTATATCTATATGTATATATATATACATGTATATATATATATATATACACATATACATATATATGTTTGTCCTTGGGATATGATATCACCACGTATATATGTTGGCACCCCAAGGCCATAACCCGAGCGGGATTGTTTAAAGTTTATAACATACCACCCATGTTTACATGGCAATGACTTGGGGATGGTTTAGTTTCTGGCATTGGGTTCACTGGGTTTGTAGAAGTAAGCGTCGGGAAGGATTCTTGTGCTGAAGAGTCCCAGCTATGATGATTTAGCGAGCCCGTGAGGCCTTCCTTCAGATGCTTTTGTTTATCAGACTTCCCTTTTCAGTTCTCTGTAGCCCAACAGCATTCTTTTCCCTTGCAGTTTACATTGCTGGGTCAGTGATGTCTAAGTCCCACTCCATTCTAATAATATGTGCAGTGTAGATAACATTGATTCCCCAAGAACATTATTCCTTTTAAGGTATCCCTCAAAGGGAAGGCCCCCCGCAATTCTGAGTTGGTTTAGAACCCCGGCTGTAGATACACCATGATACACCGGTTTTCAGAATCTAGCCTTGTTCTAAATTTATATGAACTAACAGATTCTAGCCTTCTTCTAAATTTATATGAACTAACAGATTCTAGCCTTGTTCTACATTTATATGAACTAACAGATTCTAGCCTTGTTCTAAATTTACATGAACTAACAGATTCTAGCCTTGTTCTAAATTTATATGAACTAACAGATTCTAGCCTTGTTCTACATTTATATGAACTATCATATTCTAGCCTTGTTCTAAGTTTACATGAACTAACAGATTCTAGCCTTGTTCTACATTTATATGAACTAGCAGATTCTAGCCTTGTTCTACATTTGTATGAACTAACAGATTCTAGCCTTGTTCTAAATTTATATGAACTAACAGATTCTAGCCTTGTTCTAAATTTATATGAACTAACAGATTCTAGCCTTGTTCTAAATTTACATGAACTAACAGATTCTAGCCTTGTTCTAAATTTTATGAACTAACAGATTCTAGCCTTGTTCTACATTTATATGAACTAACAGATTCTAGCCTTGTTCTACATTTATATGAACTAACAGATTCTAGCCTTGTTCTAAATTTACATGAACTAACAGATTCTAGCCTTGTTCTACATTTATATGAACTAACAGATTCTAGCCTTGTTCTACATTTATATGAACTAACAGATTCTAGCCTTGTTCTAAATTTACATGAACTAACAGATTCTAGCCTTGTTCTACATTTATATGAACTAACAGATTCTAGCCTTGTTCTACATTTATATGAACTAACAGATTCTAGCCTTGTTCTAAATTTATGAACTAACAGATTCTAGCCTTGTTCTATTTATATGAACTAACAGATTCTAGCCTTGTTCTACATTTATATGAACTAACAGATTCTAGCCTTGTTCTACATTTATATGAACTAACAGATTCTAGCCTTGTTCTACATTTATATGAACTAACAGATTCTAGCCTTGTTCTACATTTATATGAACTAACAGATTCTAGCCTTGTTCTAAATTTATATGAACTAACAGATTCTAGCCTTGTTCTAAATTTACTTGAACTAACAGATTCTAGCCTTGTTCTAAATTTATATGAACTAACAGATTCTAGCCTTGTTCTAAATTTATATGAACTAATAGATTCTAGCCTTGTTCTAAATTTTATGAACTAACAGATTCTAGCCTTGTTCTAAATTTATATGAACTAACAGATTCTAGCCTTGTTCTACATTTATATGAACTAACAGATTCTAGCCTTGTTCTAAATTTTATGAACTAACAGATTCTAGCCTTCTTTAAATTTATATGAACTAACAGATTCTAGCCTTCTTCTACATTTATATGAACTAACAGATTCTGGCCTTGTTCTACATTTATATGAACTAACAGATTCTAGCCTTGTTCTACATTTATATGAACTAACAGATTCTAGCCTTGTTCTACATGTATATGAACTAACAGATTCTAGCCTTGTTCTACATTTATATGAACTAACAGATTCTAGCCTTGTTCTACATTTATATGAACTAACAGATTCTAGCCTTGTTTTAAATTTATATGAACTAACAGATTCTAGCCTTCTTCTAAATTTATATGAACTAACAGATTCTAGCCTTGTCCTACATTTATATGAACTAACAGATTCTAGCCTTGTCCTACATTTATATGAACTAACAGATTCTAGCCTTGTTCTAAATTTATATGAACTAACAGATTCTAGCCTTCTTCTAAATTTATATGAACTAACAGATTCTAGCCTTCTTCTAAATTTATATGAACTAACAAATTCTAGCCTTGTTCTACATTTATATGAACTAACAGATTCTAGCCTTGTTCTACATTTATATGAACTAACAGATTCTAGCCTTGTTCTACATTTATATGAACTAACAGATTCTAGCCTTGTCCTACATTTATATGAACTAACAGAGTCTAGCCTTGTTCTAAATTTTATGAACTAACAGATTCTAGCCTTGTTCTAAATTTATATGAACTAACAGATTCTAGCCTTGTTCTACATTTATATGAACTAACAGATTCTAGCCTTGTTCTACATTTATATGAACTAACAGATTCTAGCCTTGTTCTAAATTTATATGAACTAACAGATTCTAGCCTTGTTCTAAATTTATATGAACTAACAGATTCTAGCCTTGTTCTACATTTATATGAACTAACAGATTCATAGCCTTGTTCTACATTTATATGAACTAACAGATTCTAGCCTTCTTCTATTTATATGAACTAACAGATTCTAGCCTTCTTCTAAATTTATATGAACTAACAGATTCTAGCCTTGTTCTAAATTTATATGAACTAACAGATTCTAGCCTTGTTCTACATTTATATGAACTAACAGATTCTAGCCTTGTTCTACATTTATATGAACTAACAGATTCTAGCCTTGTTCTACATTTATATGAACTAACAGATTCTAGCCTTGTTCTAAATTTATTGAACTAACAGATTCTAGCCTTGTTCTACATTTATATGAACTAACAGATTCTAGCCTTGTTCTACATTTATATGAACTAACAGATTCTAGCCTTGTTCTACATTTATATGAACTAACAGATTCTAGCCTTCTTCTAAATTTATATGAACTAACAGATTCTAGCCTTGTTCTACATTTATATGAACTAACAGATTCTAGCCTTCTTCTAAATTTATATGAACTAACAGATTCTAGCCTTCTTCTACATTTATATGAACTAACAGATTCTGCCTTGTTCTACATTTATATGAACTAACAGATTCTAGCCTTGTTCTACATTTATATGAACTAACAGATTCTAGCCTTGTTCTACATTTATATGAACTAACAGATTCTAGCCTTGTTCTACATTTATTTGAACTAACAGATTCTAGCCTTGTTCTACATTTATGTGAACTAACAGATTCTAGCCTTGTTCTACATTTATGTGAACTAACAGATTCTAGCCTTGTTATACATTTATTTGAACTAACAGATTCTAGCCTTGTTCTACATTTATATGAACTAACAGATTCTAGCCTTGTTCTACATTTATATGAACTAACAGATTCTAGCCTTGTTCTACATTTATTTGAACTAACAGATTCTAGCCTTGTTCTACATTTATGTGAACTAACAGATTCTAGCCTTGTTCTACATTTATGTGAACTAACAGATTCTAGCCTTGTTCTACATTTATTTGAACTAACAGATTCTAGCCTTGTTCTACATTTATATGAACTAACAGATTCTAGCCTTGTTCTACATTTATATGAACTAACAGATTCTAGCCTTGTTCTACATTTATATGAACTAACAGATTCTAGCCTTGTTCTACATTTATATGAACTAACTTATTTGAACTAACAGATTCTAGCCTTCTTCTAACAGATTCTAGCCTTGTTCTACATTTATATGAACTAACAGATTCTAGCCTTCTTCTAAATTTTATGAACTAACAGATTCTAGCTTTGTTCTACATTTATATGAACTAACAGATTCTAGCCTTCTTCTAAATTTATATGAACTAACAGATTCTAGCCTTGTTCTACATTTATATGAACTAACAGATTCTAGCCTTCTTCTAAATTTATATGAACTAGCAGATTCTAGCCTTGTTCTACATTTATATGAACTAACAGATTCTAGCCTTCTTCTAAATTTATATGAACTAACAGATTCTAGCCTTGTTCTACATTTATATGAACTAACAGATTCTAGCCTTCTTCTAAATTTATATGAACTAACAGATTCTAGCCTTGTTCTACATTTATATGAACTCACAGATTCTAGCCTTCTTCTAAATTTTTATGAACTAACAGATTCTGGCCTTGTTCTACATTTATATGAACTAACAGATTCTAGCCTTGTTCTACATTTATATGAACTAACAGATTCTAGCCTTCTTCTACATTTATATGAACTAACAGATTCTAGCCTTGTTCTACATTTATATGAACTAACAGATTCTAGCCTTCTTCTAAATTTATATGAACTAACAGATTCTAGCCTTGTTCTACATTTATATGAACTAACAGATTCTAGCCTTGTTCTACATTTATATGAACTAACAGATTCTAGCCTTGTTCTACATTTATATGAACTAACAGATTCTAGCCTTGTTCTACATTTATATGAACTAACAGATTCTAGCCTTGTTCTAAATTTATATGAACTAACAGATTCTAGCCTTGTTCTACATTTATATGAACTAACAGATTCTAGCCTTGTTCTACATTTATATGAACTAACAGATTCTAGCCTTGTTCTACATTTATATGAACTAACAGATTCTAGCCTTGTTCTACATTTATATGAACTAACAGATTCTAGCCTTGTTCTACATTTATATGAACTAACAGATTCTAGCCTTGTTCTACATTTATATGAACTAACAGATTCTAGCCTTGTTCTACATTTATATGAACTAACAGATTCTAGCCTTGTTCTACATTTATATGAACTAACATAAACTAACATGAATCTAGCTTAGATGAACCACCAGGGCGCCATCAGATCCGATGCCACCTGGCACATGTGGGTCATCCAGTGGCATCTTGGCAGCACATGTGGCTTTTCCATGGTCACGTGGTTAAAAAAAAGGTGACCCGGCCTGGTAAACTTAGGAAAACCCATAGGAAAATGGTGATTTAATGAGGGTTTATGGTGGTTTAATGGGATTTAATGGGATTTACCCCCTGGTAAACAGACATAGCTATTGAAAATGGCCATAGAAATAGTTTGAAATAGTTGATTCACATATATGAAAACATATGAAAAATGGTGATTTTCCATCGTTTTCTGTATGTTTCCCAGAGGTTATGGTTATCCCATGCCATGGGAATCCCAGAAATACGGCCATTGAGCTACGTATTAAGTGGAACTGCAACAGCAAAAATGACCAATTGCGGTTGACCACGTTATATTCTATATATAATTATTATATATTAAACTATATTAATATATAATCTAATTATAATATATATATATAGTTGCCTTTTTCAAATGGAGTGTTTGTGTCTATCGGAATGAAGACCGAATGACTTGTGAATCCTTCACAGCCTTTCCTTTTTGTGCTCAAGACTCCTAGCTCCTCTATGTACCGTGCTCTTGTCCCTGCAACTTTCGGAGTGGGAGTTGGTACCTGGCTTTGGTGGTGGCTGGTCATAGTAGAACCCTGGACTCGTGATTTGGCATTGGTTGGAGTAAGTTCATTGGTTTGGTCCTGGACAGGGGCCAGTGATTACTTACTCTGGGAAGTGCAGCAGTGGCTGAATCTGGCATTCCAACTTGGTGGTGCGTGTATCCTTCTTCACTCCTGGCGAGAGATAGCTTGGTTGATTCGCATTTGCATAGACTTGGTTGGTGCGTTGTTTGATTTGGTTCGTACTCTGATCTCCTGGTATATTGCAGCAGAACCCCAGCTCGACGAAGTTGCATATAATTGGAGACCGGTGCCAAGCAGCTGGGGGCAAGCCTCAGAACGGGGTAGTGACCTAACCTGGGTTGGCATGGCAGCAGCTGTTGGGGCTGTGCACCTCCAATACCTGTAGGTACGTTTGTTCTCATCTCCAGGCCTCCTGATTGGGACGAGGTTTATATAGCTGGCTACAATCCATCTGCGTCAGAGGCCCTATGCCGAACGACCAGTCCAGATGGAGCAGACTGGTGGTGGGTCATGATCCAAGTCTTGGGCTTGCATATGAGGTTGCCGGTTCTTGCAGCGGATGGTACCCGTGCTGCCCCTCATGGTGTAGATGGCGATGCTGTCAACTGGATTTGTGTGCCCCCACAAGGGAATGCCCAATGGAGACCTTCTCCAGCCGAAATTGTGAACGTGTCGGCAGAAGCCAATTTGGTGATGATGCAGTACAACCATGGTCACAACTGGCCAGTGAATGTGCCTGGTGTTGGTGGCCCTTTGGTGTCAGTCCAGGCAGCTTTGGCTGGACCAGTGGCGCCAGGAGGTGCTGGCGTGGTGGGTGGCGCGGGTGGTGTCCCCGTGGCAGCGGTTCTGGGGCCCACCGATCAAGGCGCCGCTCCCGATGCATCAAGCCTGAAAGCTTTGGAGGCCGCGGTGCAACAGTTGCAGGCTATGGCGCTGAGCCCGGGTGGATCGTCCAGGAAGCCCGAGGACAAGAAAAAGAAAAAGAAGTCCCGGAAGAGCAAGAAGAAGAAGAAACGATCCAGGAGCAGTTCCCGGAGTTCAGCCAGCTCCAGCAGTTCGAGGTCGCGCAGTTCCCGCAGCAGCAGCTCTGGATCACGCAAGAGCAAGCCCCTATGTTGGAAGGATCATGGCAAGGACCGGAAGGTTCACCAGGCAGACTTGACACATGTGGACATGCTGAAGTTCAAGAAGCGGGGGGACTTGGTGGCCTTTGCCAGTCGCCATCCAGGGGCACTCACAGCCCATTTTCTGGCCGGAGTGTATTCCAGACTCAGCAAAGGGTCTTTGAGCCGGAGTGGCCAGTTGAGGGAGCCTTCAGTGACTGCGTGGGCCCATCAGTTCTCAGGCCTCACAGAGATCCGGGACATCAAGGAGGTGGTGACGCTTTCAGAGGTGTTGGATGCCGTGAACAGGCGGGAGATAGCTCAGGCCATGGATATCGTTTGCCAGCGCATTCTGGCAATCCAAGCTGCAAAGACCAAAGGCGGCAGCTGGGAGAAGGCCGAGGCAATAGAGCTGGTGAACAATTCCAAGAGCCTGGCCAGCACAAGCATGCTGGCGTTGACCAATGCTTGAGCGAAGGATTCAGAAGAGCTTGGTACTCTTTGGGGGGCCATTTGCTTGGGGCGTGCACTTTTCAGCGTTACTATTCTGTGATGACTAAAGCTTTGACTATCTGTCTGAACCAGAGGGGCGATGCTGGTAGCTTGCACTCTTGCATGTGGTTACTACAGCGTACTCTCAAGTTGCCAAGCTTGATGCGGGAATTCAAGTACAATGGAGGGCCGAAGGGTCGAAACCAGGGTAAGTCCCCATCCCAAGTGTTTCCCTTGCCGCCTTTGAGCCGCAGCGGGTCCCTTGTGACTGGCGTGGGTGATGAGGCGGATGTTGACAATCTATGTGCATACTACGGGGGGAATATGGTTGTGGCTGCCCTTAATTGGATGCATGGAGAGCGGGTAGAGCGCTTTGACATTCTATCTGCTGCTCATGGGCGGGTGCACTCTCGGATAGAGCGCATCTTGCGGGCATTCGTGATGACAGACATGCCCATTCTGGATCATGAGGGTCTGGATTCGTATTTGCGGCAGACGCAATGCTACACTGGTGCAGGTGTGGTGTTGGCCTTGGGGGTTAAGGGGGGCGTTCCTTCAAAAGCAGCTGATGTTACATTGGCAAAACATTTGGGGAATATGTATCCCGAGATGGGAGAGCAAGTTGTCAATCCTCGTTCCTTGTTACTTCCATCCAAGCGGAGACCCAAGAAACTGCGTCGTGGTTATACTTGGTTATCCCCTTCTTATCCCGAGCTTGTTAAAAGGAATGTGAAGGCGGGGTTGCATAGATACAAAAAACCTTCGCAAGTTGCCAAGCACAATGGGAAGAGAGTTTTGGCTGGGGCTTTTGCAGTTGTCAAAGATGCCGATGAAGACAGGGTCATCACTGACCCGGCAGTTAATCAACTTCTTGATCCAGAGAGACTTCCACGTCCAAAATTTGCGTATATTCCCATGTCACGAGCAGTCACAGTTCCAAGGGGTGGTGTTATTTTGGCGAGCAAGCGAGATGCTAGACACTATTTTCACAGATTGCAAATAGGTCGGCGCTGGGAGAAGTGGCTCTGCGGGCCACCAGTGCGGCTTGTTTCAAGGCGTGGTGATTATTCCGAAGTGTTTCCGGCATCTAGATCCACTCCCATGGGGTTTGGTCCTTCGGCTGGGTGGGCTCAGGGTTTGACTGATGTGGTCACTCATGATGCTGCTTTACCTGAAGACTGTAGGTTACATCCTGATCACGTTGTCCCTGGTCAGTTGCCCATTTGGGGTTCAATTATTGACGACATCTGGGCTCTTGAGCATGCAGATGAGCCTGACTCGGGGAACATTGGCCCTTCCTGGCTGTCTCAGGCAGAAGCTGCCTGGTGCGCGCGCGGGGTGGAGCCCAATGTCAAGAAGAGTGTCGACGGCCTAGCTGATCAAGAAGTTCAGGGCTATTTCATCCATTCCAGAGATCATTGGGTGGGTGTTTCCCTGGACAAGCGCAGATGTTTGTTTCAAGCCAGCATGCAGGTCCTTCTCAAAAAGTATGTCATTGTAGGGGTGGTGGGCCGGTTGATTGGCAAGCACAGCTTCATGCATTCGTGCCGGCCATCGCTGAGGTCCATCTTCGATTGCACCTACCGTTGGATACAAGGCCTGCGTGAGAGGAGGCGTGACAGGGTCCAAATCCCAAATGATGTTTGGCAGGAAATTTGTGTCTCAACCATTTTAATTCCATTTGCTCAGTTTGATTTGTCGGCTTCGTGGAGCCACCGCATCGAATGTAGTGATGCCTCCATGACTGGATTGGGCAGAGCATTTGGCATTATTCCTCCACTGGTGGCGCAATGGTTAGCAAGGTATAGTTCACATCTTGCCGTTTACACTAACTTGAAGTTGCCATGGGGTATAGGTCTGACACAGGAACACAAGTGTCCAATGAAAAAGGTTCGCATTCCAGTCGAGCGTATTCGCTGGAAATATCTTGGGGTGCCGTGGGAATCAGAACACATCACTTTGAGCGAGGCTGATGCCATATGCCATCGCGTGGACTGCAGAGGACCGTCTGCGCAGGCCTGTTGATGATGACAGTCGCTTCATCCATCCTGTTGACTCTGCGGCGTGTTGTGGGGCTTTCTCGAAGGGTAGGTCCAGCAGCAGCCGATTGAACAGCAGATGCAGAAAGGTTTGTAGCGTGAATCTAGCAGGTGGCCACGATGTGTTTTATCCCTGGATGTCCTCCGGGGAAAATCCAGCAGACACCCCGTCAAGATGGTATGAGCCAAGTTCAGCAGCTTCACTGCCGCAGGTGGAGTTGGCTTCTAGTGAGCCGGTAGCTGATCTGCGGGAGTTGGGCCCGTGGCCGACTGACACATGGTTTTTCATTCATTTTTGCTCAGGGTCCCGAAGAGATCATGATTTGCTGGATGAAATTGAAATTTTGGCGGGTGAACATGGGCTTAGCGTTGTCGGCATTGCAGTTGATCCGTTGGCGTCGTTGGATGGTTTACATTCCATGGTATCCCCTCCTTCGTTGCATGGTGACTTGTTTAATGTTATTTGGGGTGATTGGCTCATGCGGTTGATTCAGTCCAAAAGGGTTGCTGGTGCCTTTGGATCACCTCCGTGCAATACACTTTCCGCGGCAAGACATGTGCCGTTGAAGGTGGCAAGTGGCATGTCTCCCAGACCCCTGAGGAGCAGACAGTCTCCCTGGTATCCCTTGAGCTATTGCACCGATAGAGAAAGGTTGGCAGTGCATGTTGGTTCTGCCCTCTATCTTTTGGTGTTGGGGTTATTAGGCGAAGTTGCTATGACTGGGGGCTGGACTGGTTTGGGACATCCGGCAGACCGCGGAGAACCTTTACCTTCGTTTTTCGCCACAAAAGAAGTGCACAGTTTTTGTCGGACGTTTGGTTTGGTGTATTCCGTTATTCACCAGTGTCGATATGGGGCTCCAACCAAAAAGCCTACAGGGTTTTTGCTGCCGCGTGGATTGCATAAACTGCAGTTGCGTTGTAATCACCATCGTAAGCACAAGTGGTTGGTTGGTTTGGATAACTATGAGCACTTCGAAACTATTCCTGCAGCAAAGTACCCTCGTAAGTTGTGCAATAGTTTGGCAACACTATTTGTGCAAAGCTGGTTGGAAGTTCGCTCTCGTGGCTTTGAGCGACCAAGAGCCCCAAAGTGCTCAGTTTCATATTTTCCTTCGCCTTGGCAGGGGGCTATTGATGGAACCTGGGCATGGCCTGAGCCGGTTACAGGTTTTCTTGTTGAGCTCGTTAAAGCCGTCAACAATCGAGAAGTACACCCAAGCTTTGCAAGACCTCAACAATGAGCTTGAGGAACAGAATGTGGTATGGGCTGAACTTACTGAAGAGGAACAAGACTACTTCCTAGCTGACATGTTGTTGGATGCCTATGAATCTGATGGGAGCCGTGTTTCTGCAGGTTGGTTGCTTTCTGCCTTGCAAAAAGTGTATCCCCGCCTCAAGCTGAAAGTGGCTTGGCGAGTCTTTGACACGTGGGGCTTACTGCAACCTTCACGACAAGCACCGGCTGCTCCTCCTGAGTTGCTGCATGCCATGTTTGCGACTGCTCTCATGTTGAATCGCCCAGTTCTTAGTGGCCTCCTCTTAGTCTGCTATTGCGGCCTTCTGCGAGTACGGGAGGGCCTTGGTTTGCGTGGACGTGACCTCGTGCTGCAGACAGATGGTTTGACTTTGTGTTTGGGTAAGACCAAGCGGGGCATGGAACAAAAGGTTGTTTTGCGTAATGGGGCTGTTATCAGTTACATGCGGTCTTTCTTTGAGCATTGCGGGTATCCGGCAAGTGATGAGTTCGTGTTTCCCATCTCATATGGGTCAGTGTTGCGCTGGGTCAAGCGTTTATCTGAACTCTTGGGGGCTAAGTCTTTGCAATTAACCACGCACACATTGCGACGTTCTGGAGCTTCTGAATTGTCTAGGCAAGGTATGCCTTTGGCAGACATTCTGCTGTATGGTAGATGGCTTAGTGAGAAAGCAGCTCGTGAATATATTCGCAAGGGGGAGGTGGCCATCATCAGGTCGCGTGGTTTACTGCAGGTGGAAGACTGGGCTCGCATTGACCGGTGGAGTGCAATTTGTAATAATGCCTGGAAACTCTATCATCTGGTTTTCTCTCAGACAGAGGTGGCGTCCCTTCGTTTGGATCATGTCACCTGTGAGCGATTTCGGAGCTATGAGTCTTTGGTTTTTCAACTTTGCACTACTTGACAGTCTTGTGGAAATGTGGGAAGAGCCAGCGCGCTGTCAGATGGGAGTATTTTCTTTTCAAGTGACCTTCTGGAATGCCAGAATGTCAGCTGCCGTTTTATGTTTGGCAATGGCCAATCATACATACAAGTGCTTTAGCAAAAGGCACAGGTGCGGTGGCTTGCAGCTTCAGTCTTGATCCAGGCAAGGGCTTCAGCAGGTCCAGTGGAGAGATTTGACCACAAATATATATTAATATATGTATCACTCTAGCTGGAATGATGCCGATTAGACAGATTTCATTCCATATATTTCTTGGGTTCCCTGAAACTCAACCACCCACAAAGGCTGCTGAAAAGGTGTTGTGCGCCCCGTGCAGCTCAGGCGGGTGATGGCCAATACAACACGGAGCAAACGCGTTGGACATCGCCTATGTCGCCAACGTCCTGCGGTGGAGGCGTTCGTCACTTTTTGCATCGTTCTTTGGGTTGCAAGGAGGTGCCCTTTGGGGGCCCAAATGGGCGCTGGAGATCCACGAAGAAATCAACAACCAACTTGGGGACTTGGTGGCTCATCCCAGTGGCTTTTCTTACCCCTATGAGATATATAAGTAGGCTTAATCCACTCACAACTGGGGTGAACATTTTGCCACATTCACACGATCCGTGGGTAGTTCGCCACCAGCCGTATCCATTGGATTTTGCCGTTGTTTCAACGGTGATTTTTCCGCAGCATCATGAACGATGTTCATCCAAGTCGTCTCATGGTGGAATGGTGGTCTGGCCCCCGGTTTAATCCATATGATCCCATTAATTTTAATCCATTGACACAGTCTTTTTGGTCCATATTCAACTATGGATGATATTCCATTCACTTGGGAGACTACCATAGATTAACAGGATCCACTTCCCCTACTGGCTGAAATATCAGCATTGTCCCCGAGAATTCGCAAATCGATGATGAGACGTGACGGTGATTCACCGTGGACGGGCGATGGTAGTCTCTGGGATTTTTTCACGAATAGCAATGGAAAGTCATCTAAATCATTTACTGTAAATCTATGGGTCGTTTGTCTAAATCTATGGGTAAATCTAATTTATCATAGGTACCCTCTGGTTATTTAACATAGCTATGGAAAATGGCCCATAGAAATAGATGATGTACCTATTAAAATGGTGATTTTCCATGGCAAACTGTTAGTCATAACCAGAGGGTAAATCATCCAAATCCATGGGCCAGCAATGCTGCTCCCGATTCGTAAACCAAACTTGGGAATGGTTTCTTCGACAACAATTATCCCATAATTTTCCAGGATTCCCCCACAAAAAAAAATCCCACACAGTTGACTATTATCCAACTATTATCCCATTAATATCCCATAAATATCCTACTATATAGCCCATGATTCTTGGCTAAAAACCACATGATCCTTTCTGCCTTGACCATGACTTGACCGGTTCCCAGGTTATCACCTCACCTTCGACTCAACTGTCTCAGTGTCTTCGCCTTTGCCCAAAGATCTTCGCAGCGTGCTGTCACTTCTTGTCCTCATGCACGGTAGGTCACTGGGATGCGACGGGAGGTAACGTTAGGATGGCTTGGACCAGGACTTTTGGGGAATCCCGGGGGTAACACAAAATAATTCCATTGCAAACTGCTTGTTTCTCGCATAATTTCTTGGATCTATTCTTGACGTTGGTAAATTGAATGGCCAGCTTCGTGGGTACAAAACCTCATTGTTCACTCCCTTCACCTTCCATTTTTTTCTTTTGAATGGTTTCATGCATATGTTCATGGTATAAAGATGCTGGTTGGTAGTTTGGAACATTTTTTATGTTTCCATATATTGGGAATAATAATCCCAACTGACAAATGTTTTTCAGAGGGGTTGAAACCACCAACCAGGATGTATAAAGCAGAGTATCAACCCCCCAAATTCACAACCCGCGATGGTTTCAACTGGGGGAATTCGTTTTCCCAGCAGAAAGCTCGCGTTTCGGGGGCGTTTGAGAAGACCAAGTTCCCAACAGCTGCACAAGGACTTGTAGATAACTTGCTAATTATATCTAATTATTGTGTGTATATATATATATCCCACATATGATTATGCATGTATAAATACACATATATATATAAATACACATATATGTATATATACATATATATATATATACATATATACACTACTAATTAATAGTAACACTAATAATCATAATGTCATAGTCATTATACAATAATCATCATGTATATATGTGGATAATATCATGGTGATCACATACCAAACTGCGCTATTGCACATCGACGTCGAGCTCGCTGTTCCCAGTGCTTTTCTGCAGGAAATTCTTCACCGAAACTCTGTTTTTCTCATGAAATATGGGGTTTCCTATAGATTTGCCCGTAAACGCCAATGTTTGTTGAATGTGAATATCCCATTTGGGTCGTTACAGTAGTTTTTTTTTTTTTTAAATAGCGTGTCAGGATTTATAGAAGTCTGACATAAGAGATGGCCCAAGAAATATATACCATTTTGCAATGCTTGATGGGTCACTCAGTCCGTTGCCAGCTGAGTCACCTGTCTCTGGGTCGGAGGTCCCAGCTTTCTCGTTGGATGGAGCGGTTGTCCTCTTGGTCTGAGACGGCCTGCCTTCAAGGCGACAAGGGCGGGAGATGTTGGGATCGTGTTTTGGGGGGAAAATGAATATGGAAACCTATGGTAAACCTATGGTAAATCTATGGTAAATCTATGGTAAATCTATGGTAAATCTATGGTAAATCTGTGGTAAATCTATGGACATCAATGCACATCTATAGAAACTTATGAAAATCTATGAACATATATACTTTCACAGTTCTGGCTGAATGGTTTCATTTATGGCTCGGAGAGTCGTACTTGCTATTGCGCGAAAGATCAACTGGAAACCAGGGGGCATCTATGGTTTGCGGTGTTTCAGGATTTATGAACTTCTGGCGTATCCCAACTGAGCTATGCGATGCTATGCGCATGAACATCGTAGGTAATGTACCTATTTTCCATGTGGGTATTGTTCTGCCCGCAATCAGCTTTGGTAGGTTCTGCTTGAACGTGGAAGATATCATCAACAGAAACCGGGTATACATATGTCAAGGTATGTTGAGGAAAGGTCAATCATGTGTTTTTTTAGCCATAAGAATCATGGGCTATATAGTAGGGTATGAATGGTTTTTTCTGTGGATGAATCTGGATTTTTATAGTGGGATAATAGTGGGATAATCATGGATACATCCATGGGACATGTTAAGTCAGTTTGGGATGAATCCGATGCACCAACTGGTAACGTGAAAGAATCAGAGTTCAATTGTATGAACGAAATATGCCCAAAAATATGCTACTGACGTAGCTCCATTGAATCGGATCCTGAAGATCTCCCATTGACTGATTGACACTTTAATTGAAACATACTTAAATTTGATGAATGGAAATGAAGACACTACTGAATTGCCTTCATTAAAAAACAGCAGGCACATCAAACAGAACCCAGGCTTGGGCCCAAAGCCGTGGGGGATTCCCAATGTCTCCCTTCATTTCCAGCTCAAGATTCGTTTCCCTGGAAATCTGAGAGTTGAGCATAGTTGAGCCATATTTAGTCGTAAACGATCCGTTCTTGGTGGGTATCCCTCCTTTCCCATATGCTCCATGGTGCTGGAATATTTACCAACATTGGCCCCAAAAATCCCCCAAATGTAGATAAATATACCATACATGGAGCATATGCGTTTTCTTGATTGTTTCGTGGTTCTGTTTCTGTTTCGGTCCTTGGATAAATTGCCGGCGATGGTCATGATGGGAAATTCCCATTAGATGCATAGCCGGCATAGCCCAGATCAATCCCAACTTGACTGCACGTATCCCAGATGTTTTTATAGTTCCATGATGTTCTATCCCCATCCCATCCCCATCACAATTATAATATCCCCATTCTCCATCATTCTCAGATGATTTTCCAACGACATCCTATTTAAAAGGAAGGGCTACCCTCTCGTAATCAAACATGGCGGGAAAATTCCCGAACTCGCCATCGAAGTAAATGGTATGTTTTTTTCCAGACACAGCACGGTTTTGTTTGCAGTTGCATGTCCGCACAGTCGTCAGACTTTCAGCGATGGAAATGAAAAAAAAAACACAGCACGTTTGATCACCAGAAAATCATAGTTCACTTGGCTTCATAGTTAGTCTGGTTGGTGGTTTGGAACATGAATTTTATTTTTTCCATATATTGGGAATGGAATAATCATCCCAACTGACTCTCAACTGACGAACTCCATCATTTTTCAGAGGGGTAGGTCAACCACCAACCACTAGTAGTACATTTGTATATACCTCTGGTTTATGTCTTTGGTTGATTTCACTAATACATCATGATGGCTTTCTGTTACATGCTATCGTTTGGCGGCTTGACCCACACCCTGCCAGGCTTAGCGAGTTTCGGTGGACGAAAAGTTGAGAAATTTGGTGCATAGAATGGGGGTTTCATGGAGATTCAACCAACTAAGAATCTTGCACTGAAAATGTCTCAATCCATGGACAAAGATCGTGCATCTGGGGATTTCTGAACACCTTATGAATAGGACAAATAAGAAGTTTGGATCCAAATGCTTTGGCGTCGAAGATGGAATGTCACCATCCCATTGATCAACCAATTTGGGGCTCATCCTTACATGAAACCAGACGTTGGGGTATACTCAATGGATGGTGACTATGGCGTTGGCAAAACACAGCGTTCACAGGGTCATTGGGATCACATTGCGATCATGGCTTTTTTCTACATGGGATTCAACTGAAGTACTGGCCCTTGATGCTCAAAATCACTCATGTCATCCGTGTTTGTCGCATTGTTACTTGATATTCCTTACATGGGGATGAGTCAAAACCTACAACATTATATTCACTTATTTGGGAAAACCATCCAGCCATACAAACTATTTTGGTGTGCCAGGGTTTGAATTTGATCCACAGCATGTTCTACTTACGTGTATATATATATTATATATATTATATATATATACTAATTATATATATATATATATATGCCTATATATTATATTTATATTAGATAACGTTGTATTGTAGTGGTAATATCCCAGCTTATGAGTGTTTATTACCATAGGATGGAAGAACCCTTTAGCAACCGCAGTCCTATTACATTATATTTATATTTAATAGTATATTATAAATATATATAATTAATATATATTATATCCAGTCTGCATCCCCAAGTATATTTGTTGCGCACATTCATATTTGCTTGATCTCTGGTAAACCAGGGTCCTACTGCGTCAGTTGCGGTCATGACTGGTCCTGACCCATCTTGCTCAGACTTCTGATAGACATGGGTCGGCTGAGAATTTCGGCTGAACATTTAACGCGTTAAAGAAAGCGCATCCAGACATGACGTCTTTTGGCAGGGCTATTGTGTCTGAAAGCATGTTGATGCTTTTTCTATGTGAACATTAATTTTCCATGACATTCACTGATATCGAAAAGCACCTTAAATTAATCACACAATATATCACTGTTTTTTTTTCGCAGTGATATCACGAAACCACGCGACCAACATCAACGACCACTCTTTGCATCTCCCCGGAGCCACGGCCACGCCGTCGCCACTTCGCCTGTTTTCCAATTCCGAAGTGACGAACTGACGAGCCCCGAGGATCCGAAGTTTGCAGATGGTTTTTTTTCCCCAATGGATTGGACCAACAAATGGCTTTGTCCACGTATAATATATATTAATATATATTATATAATACGTATTACATAGATCATTGGATATATATATACATATTCATATTAGACTATACTAATACATCTTATAGATACATATAGTATCCCACTCATTAGCCATGTTCATAGGGCAGATCATGTTCGTATCTTAATGCTGTTTCTTCAGCATGGAATGGGATGCCCTCGATGATTCTTGTTCGGTTTACCCTTTTGGAGGAGAAGAAAGAGGTATTGATATATATATATATATATAATCACATATTTATATACACGTATTGTTATTTTTAGAAGAATCCAGGGAATATATATATATATATTTTGTTTGATAGGTGGTAAACATCCCATGATTTTGTTGGGGTTTCAATCATCCGTTTGGTGGTGCAGGATTGCTTAACCATCCACAGTATATGGTATAGTCACAGAATTGGATGATGGGAAAATTTACAGGAAACCCCGATATTTGATGGTAAAAACCATGGTTTCTTGTAGATTTTCCCGTAAATCATCAAATGTATGGGATATGAAGAAAAACAAGACTTGGATGCTTAGTGGAGGTTTAACCGACGGAATATGATTGGCTCATCATCCTGGAACCACATAGAAAATTTTCGTCCCCTTAATAGAGGGGATAGCAAAACATAGTGCAAAGCATAAGCCATGACGGATCCATGGTGCTGCTATATGGTGTGCCATGGATCCCATGAATATACCCCCTTTATGTTAGCATTTTTCTACCAGCACCATGGATCCGTCATGGGTAATGAACATAGGAACCAGCTGGTTGTTTGACTTCAGAATCCCCCAATCAAATACCGTCCACAGCGTCTCGGTGATTTTTTTAAACCCCCGAGACTAATGGACCAAAACAGCGTGAGATTTTTCCATGGGATTTCTTGGGTGTTTGTAAAATCATGGTTTTTCCATTGAAAAGTACACCGAAAATCAAAGTAAATGGGTGAGATTGTCCAATTCCATAAACCAAAGTTGGCACTAAAAACCATAAATCACAAAAAAGGATCCTTCACCCAGGAAACTCCAGCCTCTGCGATAGGAGGCCCTTCCGACCGACGGACGACAAAGAGCAGCCCTTCCTGCTGCGCCAATGAGCAGCCCTTCCGATTCCAACGATGACCGTTCGCGGACGTGGCAGTTTTCAAAGACAAAGATGTGCCTTAGAGATGGGAGACTGAAAGACTGAACAGTTGCAGAGATAATTGAGATTCGAGTGTGAAAGATGATACCCTCTGGTAAACGAACTAACAGTTTGCAGGTTAAATCACCATCTTTTTCTGTTCGGTAAATCAACGAAATTTCTATGGGCCATATTTTCCATATAGCTATGTAACAAATTACCAGATGTTTGAAGATGTCAAAGAAGTGGAGGCTTTTTAATGGGAACCCATCGGAAGAAACATGTCTTTGTCCAGGCGCTTGCGAGTACTTCACATCGATATTAGGAAGACCCCATTTATAGGCTGGTTGGTGGTTTGGAACATCTGTTATTTTTCCATATATTGGGGAGAATAACCCCATCTGACTATATAATATTTTTCAGAGGGCTTGAAACCACCAACCAGTAGGTGATACGGCTAGGATGGGCCAGCGAAATCCCAATCACCAGTTTTTCAAACGGTGGTAAACTTCCCATGATTTTGTTGGGGTTTAAGCATCATTGCCCTGATGGGAGCGGAGCCCAAAAAAAAGATCGGATCTTGCAGTCAGCTTGAATGGTGAGTAAATGGGTAGTCAACCCCCAAAGCCAGGGTAAATAACTATAATATATATATATTTATGTATACACATAATATATATATATCATTATATTATGTTTAGCAGGGACGCAACATCATATGCGACCCATTGATCCTTCATGATGGATCCCTCCTTTTTGAATCGATCCGCTCGGTGCCTCAGGTGCAAATTCAACTTGGTGGGTATGTGCACCAAAGGTTTACAGTGCCCGCAGCTCGACGGAGAAGGGTTTCGAGTTGTTATTTTTTTGAAAAAAATTGATCCCGGCGTTTCATATCACTATTTTAGTGGGATTTTACTAACTTCTATCTTTTTTGGGGCTACTATTACATATATAAATATATATCAAATTGATAATACTGAATGATGTTTAGCCCCATAAAAAAAATGGTTTCCATGTCTCTGAGTCAATGAGAGTATGTTCGAAGGTGGGAGTTGAATCGCCCAGTTTTAAGGTAAAGAATTGTATAAACCAACCCCAAACTCGTGACAGGATCATCTAACTATCCAATTACTGTATACATCCGTATACTATTTATATGTAGTCCAATGATGATAGTCTAATTTAATGGAAAAACAATCGGGCAATAATGCGTAATTGTGGGGATCGTATGTGATCAATTTTAGTGACCTCTATAATGGATGGGTTTGGCGTTCTCCAAGTTTGAAAAGATCAACGGCTCAGAGGTTTCCCAAAAGATACAAGCATTTTTTTTGTCTGGATGTTATAGATATGATCTTAATCACCAGCTTTACAACTTCTTTTCAAACAGCTTCGGGCTTGCGAATCTGATCCTTCACGTATGCGATCTTTGTCTACGCTTTTTCCTCTCACATGGAGGTGAAGATACACATGAAGATACATGAAGAATTCGTGCCGTCATGTTCCATATGCTTAGTTTAATCTTGGAATGGCAAAAAGCATCAAAATCCCCATTGACAACCCCACAATGGGATCTGAACCATGGATTTGTCAGACAAAAACCAAAGAAACCATTAAAGAAAGCGCTGTCTATCCTGAATTGTTGATGGTCAATTTGCTTCTCCTCAATTACATGTTGATTTGAGAAAAACCCCTTAACTATAAGATGTATCGACCATAAACATCCGGCATTATCCATAAACATTCATTGCCCTCCAGTAATCAAACATGGCTTGCTAGAAAATCCTGCAACAAGACCCCTCATTTTTATTTGGTAAAAAGTAAAACATGTAGCTTTATGATATCATAATTTGCCATGAATATGATTTGCCATATAAATTGAGCTTTATGAAAATTCATATCATTTTTTCCATATGAACATTCATATCATATTTGTTTTGGCCAATGATATCACATGTGATGATGTGTCCCAGCTATTTTGAAGGGGCTAACCCATGGTATGTGTCCTTTTTGCTTTTCATCCATAGATGCATTGAATATAGGTGTTCCCCGAAATTCATGGTGATTTACCTTTAAACACATGGTAAAACATGGTGATTTCCCTTTAAAAACATGGTAACACATGGTGATTTACCTTTCAAACCATGGTAAAACATACCATTCCCATGGCCCCCGTCTACAAAAAATCTTTGTCCCATGGCTCGCTGACAGAGGTTCGCTCATGTGAAGAACGAGCTCAGGGAGCTTCCAGAACCTTGGCCCCAGATCCAATGGATAGGAACCAATAGAAATGGTGATTTTATGGGTATATATGTATATATATATATATACACACACCACTTTAAGACAGACCTACAAAATCACAGTGGACTTACATATATATATATATACATAATATGTATATACATATATCTGAAGACGGTTGAAACTGGTTGAACATGCTTGAGATATGATCAGAAACTGGATGAAAACGTCGGAAAACTGTGGGAAGATACATTTAGAAACAGATGCCTTTTCTTTAGGTGGACAACCAATTAGAATCCAATTGAGACCATGGTGGGAATACAATCGAAAACCAATCACCTGTCACAATGATTATAGTTTTTGCATACCCAGAACATATTGAAAGTCATTTGGAGGTTTCCTAAATGAGGCTAATGGTTTTGAGGATCCAGCATTTTAAGAAACCCTCATTTGGGCAAACTGCGCCATGGTTTTTGCCTCGAAATTGTGGGGCCCCACTTGGAAGCCTTGCAACCTGAAAATGGACCCCCTGCTGAGGACATTTCAAGAAGATGAACCCCTCCATGGTCCATATATTACGATATATTTCCTATGTATTTCCGATATATTTCCTATAGCATATATATATATTTCCTATATATTTCCTATATATTTCCTATGTATTTCCTATATATTTCCTATATATGTCCTACATATTTCCTATATATTTGCTATTTATTTCCCTACATAATCCTACACAGGCGTGATTGTTTTGCTGGGGATTCGGGCAGAAATGGGACCCGGCTGCCCTTCTCCACGACATGGCTGTCCCCACGGCCAGGATTTGACTTGTACAAAGCTCTGCAAGACTCTCATCCAGACAGGCACTGGCATCCGACGCTGCAAGCCTTTCCAATTTCATGATGTTAATATATGTTAATGTGTCGAATCGATGTTCGATGATTTTCTGACATAACACCTGGCCACAATCTTGATATTTGTTTTTTCCGTTTGTGGCCCTTGTGGCAAGGCGAAGTTTAAGGCTTGATGTTTGACATGTTTGACATGTTTGATGCATCCCCCAGTCATTTGGTGGCTGAAGTTTGGCCTTTTTCCCCCACATTGAATGGTTAAAAAGAAATGAATACCAGACTTGGCAGACTTGGCAGACTTAATCAGTGCATCCCAATGTGTGAAAAAAGCGTGATAAATTCACATGATATCAGTTGACACGAGGCTTTTCCATCGAAGAGTATGGTAGATCCAATAGACACACATGGCCTCCAGGGGCTCGTATGCAGAAAAACTGCACCTGGCATGGTGTTTCCTTAGCAAAAACCATTGCAATTGTCTCCTAAGAGCCGATAAAAACTGTGGCAGGTCTGTGCGAGGATAGAAACTGCTCTTATGCTCACAGCAAGGATGAGCTCAGAGCAACAAGATTCTTGGCACAGAGGGTAGAGTTTCAGCACAGTGGGCTGGAGTCGGCTGGATGAATGGACTATTCTTCACATGTTTTGAATGTGAATATGGTTACAAAATGTTACAAACCTGGGTTCCCGGACACCCTAAAATAGCTGGTTAATGGATGGTTATTCCCCCAGTCATATGGCAATAACATGCAATTTTTTACATATAGCTTCTGACCCATCCCCATGTGAGACTCGTGCTGTCCCTCTGATCCGGTCATGGACGACGAATCAGCCACCGTTCGGTGTTGTCGAATCTGCGTCGAATCTGGGTCTTAGATTGGCAGATGTCAGGTCAAACATTTTGTTTTGTGGATAGAATATCCGCTGGGTAATTTCTTACATAGCTATGGAAGCCCTCGCAAAAATGATGAAAAATAGATGATTGACCGAAGTTAATAATGGTGATTGTCCATTTACCTATTCAAAATGGTGAGCTTTTCCAGTTTGCAAACGGTTCGATGACCTATTTGGGTATCTCTCAGTTGCTTCAACCATCCTCAAGGCAAACACCTCATGACAGGGTTGTGTCACGTTGATGCTATGGACTTTAAAACGACTTGAAATTTATCCAAATCTAGTACACAATTGAGATTAATTGAGAATTATAGTACAATTTGCCGTAGTTCATCATAGTACAATTATAGTGCAATTAACATTAGTATATACCAATTCTAGTAAAATTATAGTAGTTAATTACAACTACAGTTTGTTATCCGACTAGGGGATAATAGTTTTGGGACATGTTCCCATTTCTATCGATTGGACGCGGACCATTGGAACAGTTCGATTTTTGAGAATGACGAGACATTGCCATGCTTGGGCCCTTAGCAATGGCCGCCAGACATAAATAGGCTTACATATGCACTACGTAACAATGGACACTTATAGAAATCTATGAACATTTATGGACATTTATGGAAATTTACAGAAATCTGTGGTAATCTATATAGGTAATATAGTAATTGTACTTCGAGATATAACTATCCATAAGCCATCAGTGATCGCTGATGAAGGGGTCATCCCGTGCGCCTCTGGGCTGCGGCTGGGCGAGGCACATTTCACAAGACCAAGCTATGCAGATTCTCACAGATGGGCCATTGTCTCTCGCCATGCAGGAGTTTACCATGGCAGGTTGCCACTGATATATATATATGAAAAATATATGCATATACATTTATACATATACATAATATATGTATATACATGTATAAATATACATAATATATGTATATACATATTTACATATATATATATATATATTATGTACCCATATACATATATATATATACATATATATATACATATATATATATATACATACATATATACATATATATACACATATATATACATATGTATATACATACATATATACATATACATATATCCATAAATACAGATTTACATATATATATATATTTACATATGTATATATATATATACTATGTATATATACACAGAATATATGTATATACATATATGCATGATATATATATAATATGTATACATATATATATACATAACATAGGTATACATGTATATATACATAATATACGTGTGTATATATAATATGTATATATATATATTGTATATATATACATACATATATATATATATATGTATTATGCATGTTTACATATACAGATATATAGAATAGATACATACATAGATAGATACATAGATAGATAGATAGATAGAAATATAGATAGATAGATAGAGATAGATAGATAGATAGATAGATAGATAGAGATAGATAGATAGATAGATAGATAGAGATAGATAGATAGATAGAGATAGATAGATAGATAGATAGAGATAGATAGATAGATAGATAGATCGATCGATAGATAGATAGATAGAGATAGATAGATAGATAGATTGATAGATAGATAAATAGAAAGATAGATTGATAGATAGATAGATATAGATAGATAGATAGATCGATATAGATAGATAGGTAGATAGATAGATAGATAGATAGGTAGGTAGGTAGATAGATATAGATAGATAGATATAGATAGATAGATAGATAGATAGATAGATAGACATATACATAGATAGATAGGTAGGTAGGTAGGTAGGTAGCTAGGTAGATAGATAGATAGATAGGTAGGTAGGTAGATAGATAGATAAATAGATAGATAGATAGATAGGTCGATAGATCGATTGATAGATAGATAGACAGATAGACAGATAGACAGATAGATAGTCAGTGTGTTAAGATCATGCAAACATTCCAAAACTCCGAAGTGCGCATGTCTCAAACTTGCGAAGCCCGGAAAAAAAACAAAAAAACAATAACCCGTTGATCATGATTTTGAGACAAACTCAAGCTGCAAGCACCATGGGTGATCAAGATTTTGCAGGGTCGCCATGTCAGGAGTGGTGAGCCACGAAAGAAATACCATGACATACCTTTGTTGATTGGTTGATTGGTTGGGACTTCTACGAACTAAGTGGTCAACGGGGCTTACATGTTGAAACAGAATCAGGTTTTTCTGAGATGGCATGGAGACATTTTTCCATGGCTCAACTGTTGGGATAACTTGGGAGGTGCTCATGTGTTGTCGCACATCCAAGACGAGTCTTGGATGGGTGACTCACTTGGATTGATGTCATAAAACCATGGCTGCGAGAATTGGGTGTGTTTGAGAATTGGGTACACCGCTACTTGATAGCAGCTATCCATAGGGAATATTTTTCTTTATCATCAGAGTTTTGGGATACACATGGATACATCATTTTCAAACAAACCCTACAGCATATAGGTTCAACCATAAAGTCATACGAATTTCCCAACCTTTAGTGGAGGTCCCCAATAAAAACCTTCCCAACCTAGAAACGCTGCTCAGCGAATTTTCTGGATTTGATGTTTCTCCAGATCGCATTTCATCGGCTTGATCTAAGGAGATGCAGGAAACTATGGCTTGTAGACTTTGTTCTGGGAAAATGTTGGATTCACTCAATGCCATAAACCTGCCCTTGGTAAGTGATATATTAGGGTTTGTTTATTGTTGGGTTTGCCACACTAGTGACGAATGATGCTTAGATCGATCGCCATTGGTCTAGTTTAGTCTACATTTTTCTTGGTTTAATCGCTCGAATCCCTTGAAAAAAATTGGTTCCATTTTCTGTCTGAACCCCTTTGGTTTCACCCATGCTGATTGGCATCCCTTGGTTTTTAGTCGTAAATCCTATATTTTTTTCGTCCCAACCAACAATCTGCAATGACTAATCTAAAATCCATTGCCTGAATATGCTTTAATTCCCATAGAATGACAGTCATGCACTTGGAATATTTTTCGTTTAAATTCTAGGACATTCAACAATAGACTTCCGAGAACTATTATTTAGGAGCTACTCTGCACGAGAATTTCAATTCCAATCACAACGGGAACTAAATTGATGGTTCAATATTGTTCCATATGTACTTCCCATAATTGTTGCGTAACATTCTAACATTCTGAAGTTTAAAAAATACATCTTAATTCGATCTTTCCCATACTATTCCCTTTTTTTATTCCCATATGTTTAAGTAATTAACAAAATCTCCTGTATGTTCCATGTTATTCTCCTGCCATCATCATTCCTCGAGGTGCCCTGGGGTCCAAGTGCAACTTCGCCCACTCCGAAGAGGTGGATCCGGTGAATCCCATCCCCCCAAATAAATGAAAAACACCCCCATGCTATCTGGGTAAATTATAACGACCTCACTGTTCTCCCGAACCCTGGGAATCATGGTTTATATATGGGAAATCATCCCCTTTTATGGCCGAACTATTCAGGTTAGTGACATATTATAATTTACCCAGATTCTATGGTCGAAAATGTGTGAACATTCCCTACATCCACCAGGGTTTCGTTTGGGGGTGTTTAATAATTTTCATATCGGGGGGTGTCTGGGATTATGAAAATTCTGATAATAGTTATCATAGTACTCATATTACTTACGAGAATCTGTTCATAAATCTGGTAATGAACTTATTGGGGATTATGATACTAGTAGAGAAACCGTTTTTCAACAAACCAGTATTTCATGAGATGGGATAGGGATATGGATTTAATATGATTTAATAGCCCATTTGGAATTGAGAAAATCCGAAACATTTGAACGAATAGAATACCCATATGCTCCATATATGGAATATATACCCACATTTACCATACATGGAGCATCTGGGCTATAAAACATCAAACAACATATATCTGGATGAATTTGATCATGACTCCATGATCTCACGTCGTTTTCTGTCACTGAAATGATAGGAATTGGATTCGGGAAATCATCCCCAGATGGCCGTATGATAACAGATAAGCTCCACTTACAAACCGCTGAAGCATCTAGAGATTTGAATTCCCCATTTCTTGAGACTCCAAATCCAAAGCGGATTAATAACGGGCTATTCCATAATGGGGAAAATACACTTTTGGAAGCAAATCGTCACATTTAGGGGGGAAAAAGATAGCCCCTGATGATTAGTGAACGAGGATGGAGCTTATTCTAATTCTTGCAAGTTTCACATTAGCCAAGTTTGAAATGACCACCTATAGATATTAAACCATCCATTTTGCGGGGAAAATTCATGGCATGCAATATATTGGCAATCGAGCCTGTGAGCTAGTTAACGGGTTAGGAAATGGATTCTATACCCAATTGTCATGGATTGGAGCCCAATTACTAGCCAGTTAACTAACTCCATGGCCCGCCTATTTAGGGGAAGCTTCACATCGGTTTATCAGCTATTTCCATGATGACAGAAGGGTACCAGGGTTTTGATTCAGAGCCGTAAAGAATCATATTCTTGGTTGCATATCCCACTAATTCCCACTATATCCCCTGGATTTTCCCCATGATGTTCCCATAAAATGCAGTGGGTTGATCCCCTTTGTGTCGCGAACAACAAAATCCCAAACATGGCTGAAACAAATCCCCCATTCATAGATCCTGTTCCCATCAAAACCTATAGTGATCCTGGATTTCCCATGGATTTTCCCATGGATTTTCCCTTCCAAACGGGGCCGTTTCCCAGCCATGGAGCTTAACGCCCTGAGCGCGCTGGGCACAGGAGATCCGACCCTTGGACACCACGAAGCTTCCAGACCCGCCGGTCGAGATGACGCCGGAGCCACCGGCAGGGACATCTCCGAAGTGTCCAAATAGGCAAGTCATCTGTAAATGGATGATATATCCATAATGTAGTATATATACGTATATTATATATATATATTTGTACATTTTATACATATGTATATATATATTTACATATATATATTATACATATACATTATATATACATATTTGTACATTTTATACATATACATATATATATATATATTGTGGGGTAAGAATGGGATAGAATGGGGATACAACGGGGATAAATGGTTTTTGTGCAGTTCTGGTTCTTCATGGGTACAACTATGGTAATCGGCTTCATAAGTTCGGATATGCCCAAAACCCAAGAGGGTTTCACTAAAAAGATGATGAATTTGGATGATTACCCTCTGGTAATTTAACGGAGCTATTAAAAATTGTGATTTTCCATAGTTTTTTGTATGTTTACCAGAGGGTAAATCCCATTAAATCCCATTAAACCACCATAACCCTCATTGAAGCACCATTTTCCTATGGTTTTCCTATGGTTTTCCAGAGGGTACCTTAGGGTAAACGTTCACATAGATCTCAAACACCCATTTTTTTTTGTTCGGACAATGATCGACGTTTACGGTGGGTTTCCAGTACGTTTACCACGTTTACCGTTGAGGGTCATTGGGGCCATGGGTCAATGACCCTCCGGCTTATTGAGATTCAACTAGGAACAAGGATTTAACCATAGAAATTCGATGAACTACAGGAAAATTATGATATAACCATTATAAAAACAAATATGTATCTATCTACCTACAGATAGATATATATATATATGTATATATATATTTATATATACATATAAATATAATATACATGTATATAACTAGGAAAATTAATGATTTAACTATGGAAATTGGATATATACTCTCCAGCAACCAAACATAGCTGGAAACTCCCCCAGCCATGTTTGAGGACCGGAGTGTCGACTCATCGAATTGCTGAGTTTCCATTGGGATACCCTCTGGTTATGTCGAAAAAGCTATTGAAAATAGCCATAGAAATAGTTGATTTACTCATGAAACATGGTGATTTTCCACTTCGTTTTTTGTATGTTTACCAGAGGGTTTTGTTGTTCCCAGAGTAAATCCAAAAAGCCAATATCAGACTAGGCAGTAGACCAGGCCACCGATTGGTGAAGGTCCCAGTCTGTTTGCACGTCTCGGTGTTTTTTCTGAGTTGCCACTGTTGATTCGTGTCAACTTATATCAAATCTTCATTTGTTCCTGCTGCAGGCACCATTTTGGTTAGTGAAACATTTTTTTGCTTGACACTTCCATTCCCTGTCAAATTCAAAATTCTTTAGTAGTTACGCCTGGAATACATGTTTTTTTCGTGTTTTTTTCATGGTTTTTCCTGATCCGAGTTCCCAAAAGTGTTGCCGACCAGGAGCCACGCCGCGCACCTGTGCCGGCCCTGATGCCCGTTCCCCCGATGCCGGCACCCTCCGCGAATCCAGCGCGGCCGAGGTGGGCAGGAGTTCGGATTGGGGTGGATTGTATGGGGGTGAACCATGAAAAGTAGGGGTACAAAAGGGGTAAAGAACCATGAAAAATATGGATTATATAGGGGGTAAACGTTGAATTAGATAACCTCTGGGAATGGTGATCGCCCAATTTTCATACAATGTGGTCCCCACCCACTTATGTTTGTTGGTCTATGAGCCCTAACTAGTTTGATATATCTACCACAAACCAATAGTGAAATACGAACTATTTCTCCAACTTATCCTAAATGAACTATGAACCAACAATGTTCAAGTATAATTTTCAAATTTCCCCACATTTTTCAAGTTCTAAATCCCATTTTTCCCATACGTTTCTAGGTCAACTTCCCATGTTTCCATATGTCATGGCTGAGGTCGGGGGCAACGCAGGCCCTGCAGCAGCAACAGCGGCAGCTGGAACAACAACAGAGCCTTGGATGAGATCGCAATGATCATAACTGTTATAGTTAGCATAATAATATAGTAGATCATCTATGATACCTATATATATATATACATATACACCTATATAAACATCCATGATATTATAAGACAATAAAGATAATTATAGATTACTAGATTACCATAACTGTTATAGTTACCATGATAGGCTACAATCGTCCAATCGTCTAATAGAGTCTTTCAATCTCCTGTGACTTGGAAGATGGGGATCCAACAACTTGGTGAAGACTTCACCGAAATTACTTTACTTCGTGTGATCCCCACCATGACATTTATACATTTTCTTACTTGCAAATCTTCTGGCATTCTATCTGACATATCTTCTGACATTCTATTTGGCATTCTATCTGGCATATCTTCTGGCATATGATCTGGCATATCTTCTGGCATTCTATCTGGCAAATCTTCTGGCATTCTATCTGGCATATCTTCTGGCACTCTATCTGACATATCTTCTGGCATTCTCTGGCATTCTATCTGGCATATCTTCTGGCATATATTCTGACATATCTTCTGGCATTCTATCTGACATATCTTCTGGCATATATTCTGACATATCTTCTGGCATATCTTCTGGCATATCTTCTGGCATATCTATCTGGCATATCTTCTGGCATATTTTCTGGCATTCTATCTGGCAAATCTTCTGGCATTCTATCTGGCATTCTATCTGGCATATCTTCTGGCATATTATCTGGCATTCTATCTGGCATATCTTCTGGCATATATTCTGACATATCTTCTGGCATTCTATCTGGCATTCTATTGGCATTCTATCTGGCATATCTTCTGGCATATCTTCTGACATTCTTTCTGACATTCTTTCTAACTTTCTTCTGCACATTCTTTGTCCCATATCTTCCTACATGAGGTCCGGCAGGGAACACTTGGCATGGATACTCGTGGTTGAGGTCCGGCAGGGAACACTGGGCGTGGATGGTCGTGGTTGAGGTCCGGCAGGGAACACTGGGCGTGGATGGTCGTGGTTGAGGTCCGGCAGGGAACACTGGGCGTGGATGGTCGTGGTTGAGGTCCGGCAGGGAACACTGGGCGTGGATGGTCGTGGTTGAGGTCCGGCAGGGAACACTGGGCGTGGATGGTCGTGGTTGAGGTCCGGCAGGGAACACTGGGCGTGGATGGTCGTGGTTGAGGTCCGACAGAGAACACTGTGGATCGCGAGTCGCAGTTGAGCAGGAGGACGAGGAGGACAACGAGAGGAGGAGGACAACGAGAGGAGGAGGAGAGGAGAGGAGGAGGAGGAGGACCAGGCAACTGACATAAAATCTAACAACCCTCACCTGGCAGGTGGGGAAAAAATCACCAACTTTTCGAAGTGAAAAAAAACCACTAATATCCCATGGAAACCAGAAAAGTTAGATAACTGTTCAGCAAAAATCAAGCGTTATATCCCCATCTAAGTATAGATATACCATGATATATCCCCTTATTGGATGTGAAATATATCGAACTACTTATGGATGTGGTTCTAAATCAACCAGACAAAGTTGGATGAAATTTGACCCTTACCCGCTTGGAGGATTATAGTGTCCCATCGAAGATGGTGCGCTAACGCAACCATAGTTTAGCCATAAAATAGGATAAGTTCACTTAAAAAAGGGACTTATCACTAGGCATATAAACCACAAACACGATCTAAGACTTGGGTTTTCTCCTCCAAGTCACGTGTGAAATGATGGGAAATGATGGTTTTTTTCATGGGATGTGGAAATCCTGATCCTGGATATCCCATATGCGAACCATGGTGCTGGTATATAATTACCTACAAAACTGGGCAATAAAAATGAGGTAAATGTAGGTGTGCATATTCCAGCACCATGGTGAGCATATGGGGTTTCTAATGGATATGGGATATGAAGCCATTGATCTGGAGGTTTTTTTTGAGTTACCTCACCGTGACGCCCAGGGGAATCCCATCTTGGTAGATTTGAATTACTGAAATGATGGGAAGTGTTTGATCCCCGGCCTTGAGCCTCATTTGTTTCAAGTAATTTTTTGACTTCGTGAATTACGGTAGTATAAATTTCATCTTTCTTCGATTTAACCATTGTTGTTTTTGTACATATCACCAGCAAAATATGGCCAGAAATATGGTACGTTTACGTACCTCCATTTTAGGTTCCTGGAATTTCCGTTGAATCAATGATATACCATGATATTCCCATCATATTGGTTTATTGATATATGTATATATATATATATATGCATACCATTGCCATAAATGTCCAACCATTGTTGTTTTTGTACTGTTTTTGTTAGGCGTTAAAAAAAAAGGATGTAACGAGTTTCTTTGGATCTCCGCTACTGGAATGATGATGAACAATTTTCGTTTTTTTTTCAGCCAGCCAAAACATGGTAATGGCCCCAGCCATTAAGAATATCATGGGGATATACCCTCTGGTAAATTAAGCGTTTGACCCTGAAAATCACCAATTTTTAATGGTTTCACTATGTTTCACTAATCTTCCAACCCCTATATATCTGCCAGGGTCGAAGTGTTAATTTACTGGAGGCTAATGGAATGGGTCTGTCTGAACATGGGGAATACCTCCAAATGGCCATCAAAACATGATGGGAACTGAGAAAATTACCCTCTGGTAAACATACAAAAAACTATTGAAAATGACCATTTATAGTGAGTTTTCCCATTAAATATGGTGATTTTCCATAGTTATGTTAGTTTACCAGAGGGTACTGTAACCATCATATTTTGGAGTAGCCTATTTTTAGACAAACGCGGAAGATATTTTTGGAACATACCAATAGACTGGAGTTATAAAGCTCAGCAATGCCACAATGCCAAAAGTTGATATACAATTCTCAACCATAGGTTAAGATACAGGACATATTGTGATTTGGGGATTGATCAAAAAAGTGGTTTAAAGAAGACCTCCAAGTGAGTAGATCCAATACTAAACCAGGGTTTCATTTGGTGGTATTCAATAGTGGGTGGGAAGGGATCTACATGAAGATATATATCATATATCTAAATACGTATACATGGATATTCCATGGAAATATGATGCGGGTTCTAATCGGACATATGTATATGATTGTATATGTATGTATATAACGAACAATATCATAGACTTATATTATTTTCGCCTGAAAACGTAGAGAAATCTTTTTAGGTTCACATTCCCATGAAAAAAAGCACATACAGAAGTTGAAGCGCATCATCCTCCAGTGGTGAATGGAGGGAGTGGTTCAGATTTACACATCGTGGGGTTGTGGGCCCCCCAGTCTAGTTACGAGTTGATTTATAAGCCCATCTATGATCATCTATATAACTTTGGATATATATATATATATACACTTATCATATAATAATATATATATATATGCCTGAAAATTCCAAGTTCTTGTAGTGAACTAAACCAACGTGACCAGCGATGGGTCCCGGGACCCGTTGCAGCACCAACTCATCGAGGCAACAACTGCAGCAACAGCAACTTGGCTCGGTAAATCGATGCCATAAACATAGGAAAACCATAGGAAAATGGTGATTTAATGACGGTTTATGGTGGTTTAATGGGATCTAATGGGATTTACCCTCTGGTAAACTAACATAGCTATGGAAAATCACCATTTGGAATAGGTAAATCAACTGTTAATGAGCCATTTTCAATAGCTATGTTAAATTACCAGAGGGTAGGTGGTGTGAACCATTCCCAAATGGGTGGTTTATGATTTTTGTTGCCCACATTAAATGCGATGATCATACCTTCTGGTCATTTTTTGCAGTTTGCAAACTGGACAATCACCATTTGTAATAGCTATACATCATCTATAAATGGACCATTACAGGAACACCGACATTTTCCGACACTTTTTGCAGTTGAGAGCACCAGACGGAGACAGTAGCGTCAATCAAGTCACGTCTCAGGTGGGTCCCGGGCGTTTCAACCGATTCCACCCAGGCAGATGCAACAGCAGATCCAAATGCAGCAACAGCAGCAGCTTGCCGCATGGGATTAGAAAAAACTGACAAGTTTGGACAATGAAGAAATCCAATACTACACCAGAGTTTCGTTTGGGGATTATTTGATATTAGGGTGAAGGGATTACTCATGACATATTTGCTATTATGATTACCGCACTATGATTGTGAAAATTAGTGTGATTATTATGATGAAGATTATGTATTCGATGATGGATTCAACGATTATGATGTATATATATATATATACACATATTCTATATATCATTTTGACGGAATATTCTGCACATGCCAAGGCTTCAACAACAGCACCAGCAGTTGGTGGAGCAACAACAACAGCATCTCGGGCGCCGAGTTTATGGATGTTTATCCCATGTTGTGACATATATAATCTAAGTTTGATCCATGTTGTGACATTGATAAATAAATATATATATATATACATACATACAATACGTACGTACGTACGTACGTGCATACATACATACATACATACATGCATACCTACATACATACATGCATGCATGCATACATAATAGTTACGTACTTCCTTTCTTTCTTACTTACGTGCTTACTTACTTGCTTAGATACATACAAATACAGTAATCATATATATATATATATACATATATACACAAACAGACGCACACTTTTTCAACTATAGTAACTCCAGGTTTTTACTGCAAGTATATGTAAGTATTCAATTCTACCCAGCGGACTAAGAACCATACATTAAGGGGTTCCTTTCCCATCGGGGTTCTGCTACCCTCAATGGCATTGTTTGTTGAATCAACATTTCATTGCTTTAACACCATTTCCCAATTGATTGTTCATATCCTTGAATAGAAATGGACATTTAGTCACTGTGACAAACCATTCTTCTCGCTTACCTCTCAACCAGGTTCATGTTTGAGAAGATCTCATATCTTTGGTTTGCCGATTGTCATTGAGTCATAATCCATGAACTACTGTGGATGGTTGCGAAATCCTGCACCACCAACCGGATGGTTGAACCCCTATAAATAATGGAATAAACCATCTATCAACTGGTGATTCGGATTTCACTGGCCCATCCACAGTAATGCCCATTTTCACCGATAGCTTGGGATTTTCCCAGACTTTCCCATGGATTGCTGTAATTCATGAGACCCGACCCGGTAAACGAACTAGCAGTTTGCGAACTGGAAAATCACGATCTTTAAGTTCGGTAAATCAATGTAAGTCAACTATTTCTGTGGGCCATGGCTTCAATAGATAAAACAATAGCAAACTGTTAGAAATTACCAGAGGCTAAATGGGAGATTTTCCCATGTCGCTACTTAGAATTCCCCGGACCGTGTTCCAAGACTCGGGCCAGCTTACCATGGGGCCAGCAAGATAGCTATGGTGGTTTAGTTCACAAGATAAAGCGTTTTTGTTTACTTTTTGAATCCATCGAAGTATGGCAAGTTAGATGTTTAAAAAAAAACATAGTTTTTTTTTTAAAAAAATCTATGCGCATCTATTAAACAGCGACTTTTCAAAGATCTGAAGGCCCCCCACGATGTTTTTTACACAAGGCCGCCATAGAAATTGACATTTTTCAGTCATGGGATGATCCCCATTTTTGATGGTCAAAAAGCCATGGGTTTATCTGGTGATTTTCCCGACTCAATGGATTTCAAGCAATCCATTGATATCTGGTTGGTGGATGTTGGTGGTGACTGGAACCATGGAATTTTATATCTTCCCCAGTAGTTGGGATGATGATCCAATCTGACGAACTCACTCCATCATTTTTCAGAGGGGTAGGTTTCTCAAAACCACCAACCAGTCATGAATCCCTCTTCATGAAACTGCAGAAAAATCTCTTGGTGATCATGGTGACCATGGGGATGAAACATGATGAAACCACAACAAAAACCATGGAGCTATGGCTATGGGATCCATCCCCACGGAGGAACAAGATGCTGGCGCTGGCGCTGCAACATCAATTGGCCCTGAGTAGCTCGGGCCGTTTCGAGAAGCTATGGACGTCAAAATCCTGGTACCCGGATGGTTCCCTGAAATAGCTGGTTTATGGGCGTTAGTTTTCCTAAATATGGCAATAATAGGTCTTGATATGTATTGATACATCCCCATACATATGTATATATATATATATATATATAATCACCACCCCTTTAGGCTAATTGCAAGCAAGGAGGCGTTCCAAAAATTGCAAGCATACATTTTGATAGGTCCCCCTCCCCAAAACAACGTCTTATTGCAAGCTTGCATTTTGAGCGTCCCCCCTCCTTAAAAGGGTGATGATTATATACATATATATATATACATAGTGGTGATTATATATACATATATATATATACATATATATATATATATGTATATATATACATATATATATATACATATATATATATACATATGTATATATGTACAGTATATATGTATACATCTGTATTTGTTTGTTTGATGGTTAATCCAGCAACTAATGGGAATGTGTATATAACATAGACCCGGGCAAGCCGGCGGCGGAAGTCTCCCAAACATAAATGACCTATAGTTCAAAGACACCCTGTCCCGACCGTGTCCTTCCCTCGACAACCGTTTGATTTTTTCAGCGAGAGACGAAGCAAAGTCTTCACACTCCACACTCCACACTTCACACTGCACTCTTCGCACTCCAAACTTCAAACTTCACACTCCACACTTCACACTTCACACTTCACACTTCTCACTTCTCACTGCTTCCTTCACACTCCAAACTTCACACTTCACACTTCACACTTCACACTGCGCTCTTCGCACTCCAAACTGAAACTTCACACTCCACACTTCACACTCCACACTTCACACTTCTCACTTTTCACTGCTTCCTTCACACTCCAAACCTCACACTTCAGACTTCACACTTCACACTGCGCTCTTCGCACTCCAAACTGAAACTTCACACTCCACACTTCACACTTTTCACTTCCCACTGCTTCCTTCACACTTCACACTTCACACTGCACTCTTTACGCCCCACACTTCCCACTGCTCTAAACCTACGTGCAACAAAAAAACACTAGTGCCAAAATGGAGAAAATCTGCTAACAAATTTATTTCGCAGCCTTCATGCAGCCACTCCAAGACGATTTACGAAGTCCAGCTGCAAAAGACAATAGTATTACGCATGCAGCCACAGCACGAAGCAACCTTGACGCAGCCATTACAATGCGATCTGCAGAGACTGAGTTGCAAAACACAAGAGAACTACGCGCAACGGCGTCGGAAATTGTAGCTCCAAAACCGGATCTCGACGCCAGAGCGAAAAAAAGACGATTTTGAAGCACTTTTTAAAAGGATTTTTAGAAGGAAAATCATTAGCGCCAAAATGGAGAAAATCTGCTGACAAATCACTGTCGCAGCCTTCATGCAGCCACTCCAATACGATTTACGAGATCCAGCTGCAAAAGACAATAGTATTACCAATGCAGCCACAGCACGAAGCAACCTTGACGCAGCCATTACAATGCGATCTGCAGAGACTGAGTTGCAAACACAATAGAACTACGCGCAACGGCGTCGGAAATTGTAGCTCCAAAACCGGATCTCGACGCCAGAGCGAAAAAAAGACGATTTTGTAGCACTCTTTAAAAGGATTTTTAGAAGGAAATCACTAGCGCCAAAATGGAGAAAATCTGCTAACAAATCACTGTCGCAGCCTTCATGCAGCCACTCCAATACGATTTACGAGATCCAGCTGCAAAAGACAATAGTATTACGAATGCAGCCACAGCACGAAGCAACCTTGACGCAGCCATTACAATGCGATCTGCAGAGACTGAGTTGCAAAACACAATAGAACTACGCGCAACGGCGTCGGAAATTGTAGCTCCAAAACCGGATCTCGACGCCAGAGCAGAAAAAGTTGAGTTTTGAAGCGTTTTTTATAAAGAATTTAAATAAAAAATGAAAGCAGGCAAAATCTGAAAGAATCAAGCTGCAGCAAGTTCACGCAGCCATTACAATGCGATTAGCAACAATCCCTAGCAAAACACAATGGTATTACGTCCTCAGCTCGTCCACCGAACCATTTGAAACCTTCTAGACATTGCGGGAACGATCCTACAGTTGCAAAGCACAATGGAATTCCATCGGCAACTCCTCCACCAGCACCACTCGCAATGCCATTTGCATTGCGGGAACGATCCTACAGTTGCAAATCACAATGGAATTCCATCGGCAACTCATCCACCAGCACCACTTGCAATCCCATTTACATCGCGGGAACGATCCTACAGTTGCAAATCACAATGAAATTCTGTCGACCGCACATGGACGAAACACAATTGAAACCCCATTTACAATGCGGAACCGATCCGAGACCGATCCGCCCATGATCCGAGCATGATCCGAGCATGATCCGACCACACACGAGACCGTCTCGCAACCGTCGCACCGCAGAGGTAGATCATCGAGGTTCGGGGACGGACTTTGTATGGAAAACCATAGGGTTTCGTGCATCTGCTATCTCTCAAAAACGCATTTCGTGCGAGACTTCCTTCAAAACTCCATCGGCAACTCCTCCACCAGCACCACTTGCAATGCCATTTGCATTGCGGGAACGATCCTACAGTTGCAAATCACAATGGAATTCCATCTGCAACTCATCCACCAGCACCACTTGCAATCCCATTTACATTGCGGGAACGATCCTACAGTTACAAATCACAATGGAATTCTGTCGACCGCACATGCACGAAACACAGGTGAAACCCCATTTACAATGCGGAACCGATCCGACCATGATCCGAGCATGATCCGACCACACACGAGACCGTCTCGCAACCGTCGCACCGCAGAGGTAGATCATCGAGGTTCGGGGACAGACTTTGTATGGAAAAACATAGGGTTTCGTGCATCTGCTATCTCTCAAAAACGCATTTCGTGCGAGACTTCCTTCAAAACTCCATCGGCAACTCATCCACCAGCACCACTTGCAACCCATTTACAATGCGGGAACGATCCTACAGTTGCAAATCACAATGGAATTCTGTCGACCACACATGCACGAAAAACAGTTGAAACCCCATTTACAATGCGGAACCGATCCGAGACCGATCCGCCCATGATCCGACCACACACGAGACCGTCTCGCAACCGTCGCACCGCAGAGGTAGATCATCGAGGTTCGGGGACGGACTTTGTATGGAAAAACATAGGGTTTCGTGCATCTGCTATCTCTCAAAACCGCATTTCGTGCGAGACTTCCTCCAAAACTCCATCGGCAACTCCTCCACCAGCACCACTTGCAATCCCATTTACAGTGAGGGAACGATCCTAGAGTTGCAAATCACAATGGAATTCCATCGGCAACTCATCCACCAGCACCACTTGCAATCCCATTTACATTGCGGGAACGATCCTACAGTTGCAAATCACAATGGAACAATCCTGACTAACTCTTTCTTTGACTAACTCTTTCCCTCACTAACTCTTTCTTTGACTGACTCTTTCCCTCACTAACTCTTTCTTTGACTAACTCTTTCCCTCACTAACTCTTTCTTTGACTAACTCTTTTCCTGACTAACTGTTTCTTTGACTAACTCTTTCTTTGACTAACTCTTTCCCTGACGAACTCTTTCTTTGCTAACTCTTTCTGTGACTAACTCTTTCCCTCACTAAATCTTTCTTTGACTAACTCTTTCCCTGACTAACTGTTTCTTTGCTAACTCTTTCTTTGACTAACTCTTTCCCTCACTA